GTTTCCCCACATCCCTCAAATCAGGTATAGCATCTGCGTCTTTGTCGTGAGTGTCTTCCACTCTCTGCATCCACTTTCTACAAAACGTCTGGAGATCCATCTGCGCATCGCTCTGCATCGAGACTCGGTCTTGCAATCGCTCGCAATCGTCCTCTGGGTGACTGCGACTCATGGATGATAGTCTGATGCCCATCTCCACAGGCCTGCGCCACGGTGGACTCCCGATAGTGAAGGAACTCCAACGTAGGCGCGCCAACTTTTGCCTACAACTATGCCGAAGGCAAACGGGTTCGTCTGTTCGGTGGAGAAGGTGCCGAAGGTGTCGAAGAGAAGGCACTGATGAAGCGATGCAACCGACTCCTATTTCGACGTTCGAACAAAGTATTATATGGGCAGCCCAAACTAACCATCACATTAGCATTCGTGAACAAGATGACTTCAAGGTCTATGGTGTCAAAGCGCACACGGTATGTCTTTGCCATCCTCATACTTGTTAATATAAGGAATCCGAACAACTGTGATGATAGACGCCCTTGGTGAGGTCAGCCATCGGCAGCAGGGCAATATGTTTGCTATTGATTAGATCGATTGACTTACACGGAGGCAAACGATAGCAATCCTAGAGCCTGCAACTTCCGTTTCCTTTTCATATGCGTATCCCACAGGATGATGGCTGGCACAACCACAAGTCCAAAATCCGTTACGATTGTCGAAACAGTAGCAACATGGCCGAGAATGACAAAAGTAGATATCGGTGCGCATTCTCCTTGCCGAGTCCATGTCGCACTGACTGGACGACAGTATAGCAGGACGCCGACGAAGGTTATAAAGAAGGACGCCCATGTCGTAGCTAGTAGCGCATATATGGCGGTGCGCAGTCTGGGCTGTGTCGCGGTGACGTAGAAAATCGTCGTGCAGATCGAGGACTTGACTGTCGCGAGCGCGGTCACATACATGAGGATCCAGATGATGTAGTACTTTATCGCCTCACTTGAGTGCCATGCATCGAGGTGCTTGTCGCGTCTTCCAATACCGACGACGAGGGCTCTTATTGTCAAAGAGATAGCAACAGTGTAGAATGCCTGGCACCTCGAATGAGCAGATACTCGCAAAGGATATGCTCCTGTCCCACCTCCTGTGTAAGAAGTAACTTACAGCACCGGCAATCATGAAGCCATCATCCAACCTGAAAAGGCTTCTTGAAAGCCTTACATAGGTTCTCAAAGAGATGGCAATCAGGGATAGCCCAAGGAAGGTACACGATATCACCATGATGGCGGTTGTTAGACCATCGAGTCGGGAATATTCCCCTTCCAGGTCAGCTTCCGCAGACACAAATGGCGACAACATTGGGTAGGTAGACTCATGTCCACCATGAGAAGGAGGTTGCTGGTTAACATATTGACGTTGAAGAAGCTGACTCCAATCACAGGATATTAGGTTTACCAGCACTCGGCGGCTCCGCTTCTACAGGCTAGCTTGATTCGGTGACTCGGCTCGAACATGAAGTTAATATCGCATCAACTATACCAAACTCGGAGAATTCTGATCAGATCAAAACTTCGACGTTGGGTTTCTTCGGTTACTCTTGCTGCACAGACATGTCAGGCTGCCATCTAACCCATACATTTGGAAAGTAAAGCGCGCGATGTCGATTGTGGTGACAGACTAAAGCACTGCTATTCGTGGTGATCCACTAAACTGATTCTAAGGTCTTTGATCTCCCAGGATGCTACCGCATCAAACGATCGTTACTCTTACACCTCTGTTCGCCTTCGTCATGGGCACGAACATGTCGTGATCGTATGTTACGTCCTCCTCAGTAGTATCCGACAATCGCATCTGCGGTAGAACACGCAGCACCAATGCAGCCAGACACAAATTAAGCTCACATAGAGCCAAACTGCAAGATTGATGTTAGAAACCACCTGCCAGATCCACATGAATGTGTTGCACTTACTTCATTCCCAAACAAGAACGACTTCCCTTCGAAAATGTCAACATGCTACGCTCGGCTTCTTTTCTCCTGTTGTTGTTCTCGTTTAGCCATCGCTCAGGAGCAAAGGCGTAGGAATCGGGAAAAGCGCGTTCGTTATGGTGTGTGACGTAAGCTGACATGCCGATGGCATAGCCCTTGGGAAGTACATATTGGATGGACTTCTTGTTCCATTCTCCACGGTAGAGTAGGTTTTCTTCAGTGGGCACACGCGCAGTACGGCTAGAAACGCCATAGGACAGTCTCAAGCCCTCCTGGATGACGGCTCCAAGATAAGGCAGCGTTTCCAATACAGGCCATGATAGATGTCTCGGGTCATCCACAACAGTTTTTAGCTCTGCGGTGAGCTTAGCAAGAATCTCCGGCTTGGTTAGTAGATGATAAGTCATGACCGCCAACGCCCAACTTGTAGTTTCCGTTCCAGCACCCAGCACAGCCTGCGCTTCTTCGGACAAACGCTGGGGTTCCTTGTCCAGAATCTCGAGATCGGATTGCAAAAGACTCGCGAAAATAGTCGGTCGATCATACGTAATACCGGCATCCATGTCCTCCTTAGTCTTGCGTACTCTGGCTGGCAGATCAATCTGCAATGTTTTGACCATGAGTGCAATATCCTTGGGCAAGTAATCGACGAACGTCGCTGCCAACTTTGTAGTAGATTTCGTCCAAGGGAAAAAGCGGAACACAAAGACAGGACGCAAGATCGAGGCAGTTGGTTCTCTGAAATTGGGGAACCAGCCTGGTTGGTCGAGGAACCCAAAGCTCTCACCGAAGCTGTATTTGGATATGGCGTCGGCGGTAAAGCAGCTGTATGCCATGGTGACGTCGAATGGCTTGTTATCACCCGATTGTCGGAGAAGCTTATCACAGAGCTTCTGGACGTCAACATGAAGATCGGGTTCGAGTCGCGTTATCATTGTGCGGGAGAAGAACTTTGCTAGGGGGATGCGGCGAAGGCGGTGGATGTTGTGGTCTACGGTTCCAAAACCGGATTCTCCAAGACTGTGCAATTGTCAGCTGGAAGTCATGGATGAAAGATATACGAGAGACTTGCGCTGACCCATTGATCTGGTGTACAGGCTTGTCGCGCTTTCGGCCACCGACGGCGTAGATTTCGTCAGCGAAGCTGATGTCGTCGCAGTGGACTTCGTTGGGGTTGATACGGATGATTGGTCCTGGATGCGACATCAGCTTCTATGCCTGTATTGGCGTACAATTTCTGCTTGTCTACTCACCGTACACCTTGTGCATGCGCGCGATCTCCTTTGTATAGCAGCCGAACCTAATGACATCGTGGTAGAATTCAGGCAGGTACGTCGCTGCCGCTAGTTTTGGTCCTGGGATTCCGCTCAACGGATGGAATGGCGAGATGTTGTAGATGGCCTCCAGAATCTTGTATGCGAGCCAGATACCCGCAAGACCTAGCATATAGCCCACTGGAGGAAACCATGATGCCGACTGCGAATGGACACCTTCTGAATCCATTTTGGAGAACAATGCAAGAAAGAAACCTCTGTTGTCGCGCGAGAAGGCATTGCATTTACACTATTTTCTATTCGCACAAAGAGACGACGCTATCGTGTCAAGTTGCAGGGGGGCCTGAAGCATGTCTGCGGCAGAAAATGCGTATCTAAGTGGGGTGAGGTCACTGGGCAAAGTGGAAACACGGTCAATAGACGTTAGACGTTGCGGTTGTTGCGGTTATTCGGGAGCGAGCGAGTACCGTGCAAATACCGACATGTGATCGAGTGGTAAGGCGGAACGCCATCACACAAAAGGTTGGTGTAGACGTTGGAAATGAGGGTCCAGACTTGTACGTGCGGAGTGGGGGCCGGTTTCGAGTCATGTGAGCTAGGGTTTCCGATCTGGACTTAGTCGCCCTCGAATGGACGCTGAAAGACCGGTGTGGCTATTTTCATCTCACGTTTGATATCTGAAGGGCTGTTGAGTAGCGAGCAATCGCAGTTGATGCAAGGGTGTGCCAGAAGAAAAACAGTTTGTTGTCATTCATCATGCTCGTGCGCTAGGCTTGCAAGGTCCCGTGTGTCTCATACTATGTTGACCTCGTACGTGTCATCTGGTTTTACATGTTCTAGTCCATCAATTCTCTTTATCCTGTCTTCAAGACGACCTTGGTCGAGGTGTGACCATCTTTCCTCTCGCCGCAAGCGCAAGCCAGCCTGCAATAAGGCAGGCCCCGCCAATGGGCGTAACGGGCCCCAAAGACTTGTACTTCTTGGCATCCAGCACAAGTAGGTATATGCTTCCAGAGAACATGGTCATGCCCGCAGTGAAGAGGGCCATTGCGATTGTGTTTCCCGGCGCGACGACGGAGGTCATGGTCAGGACGACGGAGTGAACAAGCTGTTGGTGTCGTTAGCAGGGTCCATGGGCACAAAGGCGAGGAGGATGCGGTGTGCGAAGAGGGGCACGCGTTGGTGAAGCGGGGAGCATATGTACCTGGTATTGAGCAGCGGTTCCCCAGTTCGCAATGAGCGCTGGATCCCTAATCCGTTGCTTCAGCCCATGCGCACCGAAAGCGCCGAGCGCAACGCTCGAAGCACCGAGCAGCGTGCCGATCGTCCAGAATGGCGACATGGAACTGTAGGTTGTGCCGTAGGATCTACTGCTGCTATAGCCTGATTCGTAGATGGGATCGTGCGATCGGGATTTGCGGGATGACGAGGACGAAGATTTCTTGGATGAAGACATAACAGCAAGTGAGAGTTGTTTGGGGTGGAGGGAGGTGGGATGGCAAGTTTCACTCAACGAAAGCCGCGGTATGCGGAGTTCCGGAGGTGTGCGTTGTCTGATTGGTCTGTGCACACAAAGACGGGAAGTGGAGCGTGTGAAGGTTGTACATTTGTGGTGGTATCCTAGATGCTGAAGTTTGCATCCCCCTATATTCTGAACGCCATAACGCCCTTCTGATGCAGATGAGATGCCGCGTATCCCATGAAAAATGCGACCAGATTGACGCGCACAACGTCCCATCTTCCGACAACTAGTCTGAGTCAATTTCCATGACTTCTCCATCTGCCTGTCTCTGTGGTGTCGCCTTCATGGCGCTTGTAGTAGCCTTCCTCTTCCCTTTCCCGCTCTTCTGTTGTGCCTGCTTTATCTCCTCTTCAGAGATCAGGGCTCCATCGACACGTAGGAAGCCCTTACCCTTGCCCTTTCCATCCATTCTGCCATCAACGTCCCGTATCCTCACGCGCAATTCTCCTTCAACCTTTTCGCCATCTCCGTTCACCCACCAACCTCCTTCATCTGACAACCGTCCATCCCAGCCCTTCTTCATGTGACCAGCTTCTTCCGAATGCCACGACCAGTCCGAGGGCAGGCACTCTTTGAGTATACTAACGGGAAAGGTGTTGAGATGTGCGAGCGTGAGATGAGTCTTCGCCTGGTCCGTGATATGAGCGGTCAGGTGGGCATTTCGCGTTGGTCGCCACACAATGAACGAGGCAGTAACCCAAAAGAACGGCGCCGCGTATTCATCAACGTGTCTGAGTAGTAAAGGCTCCGCGGGCGCATCATCATCAGAACTTGACTCGCTTTGCTGTTGAGATTGTGACTTCTTGGTTTTCGATGTTGCGGCGGTTGGTGGTGTGCTATTCAGCTCAACATCTTCGTATGCGAGGACCACACCCTTCGCAGGTGGGAAGTATGTGAGGAGTAGCGGTGATAGTACGGTCGCGCACACTGCTGAGAAGGGATCTGCGAGACATGAAGGCGGGATGCAAACGTATTGCGATATACGCTCGGTGTAGAATAAGGAAGCATCGTCGCTCTGTACTGGTGCCATTTTCGGGAGAGCGTGAGTGAATCTTGGCGCGTAGTGTGGTTTGCGATCGCGTTGTCGCAGAAGTCCTGAGCTTGGAAAAAAGTTGGAGATGTCGGCGTGTGAAGTTACCGATATGTGGGGGTCGACGCTAGGATAAATCCGACTAGCCACCACCAGCATCATGTATCAGTGAAAAGTGAAGGTAGCATAGAATCTCAATTAAATACGCTTCGTGACAGCGTGCATATCTTCTGGTATGTTTTCCGATCTATAGGCAAATCCAACGCCAAATTTTACTACACCAGATCAGGCATCATTTGCATGATGCTCATGCCGATGCTAATGTTAAGCTCGCCCAGGACCTTTGTTTTACATTTGATTTCATAGCGGAGCCGGAACCTCTCATCTTCTGGGCTTCTCTGCTTCCTTACGCTGGAGCTTGGTAACCACCCGCTGCAGAGCTGTCTTGATTTCGCCCTTCTTGAACTGCGACAAGTCGTAGTAGTTCGGTGAGATGTCCTGGCAGAGGTTAGTGTCATAATTAGGTACAAAGGTATGATGACAACTCACCAATAGCCACTCGGGCTTGACCGAAGTCACTGTGCGGATATAGTTCTTGGTTGTCAAGACAAATTCGTTGTAGATGACCCATTCACTGTCTTCAGCAAGAACAGTGCTAGGGTGCAAAAGAACATTTTGCTCGTCCTTGACGGTAATGTAGCTCTTGCCGTTGCCATCGCGTTTGGCGACTTGCATGAAGAAGCCAGCCACGAGCGCACGCTGAATGTTCTCGTAGTACTTCTTGTTCTCGAATGGTGTTGACATCAATTCGAGTTCCTCACGCTCCATTATGCGCTTGAGTTGAAGACGGACGTTGTCGGCTTGCTGCAAGGCTCGGTAGGAGAGGAAATGGTCGTGGCACCACTGCTTCGGGTTCGCTTGTGCCTCCTCGCTCTTGAATGCGTGGTAGACATTCAGCATGGTAAGCTGGTCGCCCTTGGGATGCGCAAAAAGCTCCTTCATCTCGTCTGCTCGCTTCCGGTTGTTGGCTGGGCGAACAAAGATTTGGGGTACCGAGAGTAGCGCAGTAAGCGACAAAATCTCATTCGAGCAGTAGAACTCGGGTGATGTGATGAGCATGACTGCCAAGGCGGGATCCAGGGGAAATTGCGAGGCAAGCCCTCCAAGTGTGGTGAGCTCGCCCTCGTCGTCGAGACATGCCAGGTAGTTGAGCTCCTCCAAGGCACGCATCAGCGTCTCTGGCGCAGGTGGGTCCATCAGATCAAAGTGTACCAGATCATCGACTCCGAGCTTCTTCAACTCAAGAACGGTGCTTGCCAAATTCGATCGCAGAATTTCGGGGTAGGTCTGTTCGATGAGCTCCTTCTTGAAAGCTTGCTCGGTGTAAAGACGGAAGCATTTACCAGGTCGCGTACGTCCCGCACGACCAGCTCGCTGTTGGGCTGAGGCCTTGGAGATGGGCGAAACCAGGAGAGACTCGACACGGATACGAGGGTTGTACACCTTTTGCTTGCTGAAACCAGGGTCCACAACGTAGACGATACCGTCGATAGTGAGAGATGTCTCAGCAATGTTGGTGGAAACGATGACTTTGCGCCCAGGACGGCCGCCTGGGGTGGAGGGTGGAGGCGCAGGGTTGAAGATCTTCTGCTGTTGTGCGGGCGGCAGAGTTCCGTACAGCGGGTATACCACAAGTGGCCCAGCACCGCCTTCTCGAGAGAGGTCCTGAGCCTCGAGATTTATCTTCCTGCATGCGTCCTCAATCTCTTCTTCACCGGTCAAAAACAGCAGAATATCGCCTTCGCCCTCGGTGGCGTGGATCTGAAGGACGGTTCGCAGGGCGGCTTCGACGTAGTCTCGCTCGGGCGCGGGTGTGTAGAAGACCTCGACGGGGTGGGTTCGTCCAGGAACGGCGAGCAGTGGGGCGTTGTGGAAGTACTTCTGGAACTTGGTGGCATCGAGCGTAGCACTCATGATGATGAGCTTGAGGTCGGGCCGCCTCAGAACAACCTCCTTCAGCAGGCCCATGAGGATATCGGTAGCCAGGGTTCTCTCGTGAGCTTCGTCGAGGATGATGGTGCTGTAGCGAGTGAGGTTGTGGTCGTTCATGGCCTCGCGCAACAACATTCCGTCGGTCATGTACTTGAGGATGGTGTTGGGCCCCGTCTTGTCCTCGAAACGAATGCTGTATCCAACCTCCTCGCCGAGCTCGACGTCCATCTCCTCGGCCACACGCTGGGCGACGGACATGGCAGCGACACGACGCGGCTGGGTACAGGCGACCATCTTGGCATTCTCCTGCGGCAGGTCGTCAAAGAGGACGAACTGCGGGATCTGAGTCGTCTTTCCGGAACCCGTCTCACCGACGAAGACGAGGATCTGCGACTCCTGGTAGAGCTTGAGGAACTCGTCGCGCTGCTGGTGGACGGGCAGGTCTCGCCTCTTCTTGAGGATGCTCATGTACTTGCTCGAGAGCGGGCGTCCAGTGAAGGCGTTGTTGGGGCCGTCTTCGGCGGCGTTCGCCTGCGCCGTGGTGGTGGCATGGCGCTTGAAGCCCTGGAGCCCTGTGCCGGCGCCGCTGTACTCGCTCTTGACGGGCTTCTCATCGTTCCAGTGCGCCAGGTAGGGATTCGCCGCCGCGTCCATTTTGCCTTCGCCGTTGGACTCGGTCTTGACTCGCTTGACGCGGGCACTGTCATCGTCGCCGTATTCGCGCTTCGTCATGGCAGTCATTGTGGTGGATGGGCGTCGTCGGCGCGCGTGTGAAGGGCGACTGCAATCGCCGTCCCAGAAAAAGTTATGCGACGGGCCCAAGTAGCTCCACTTACCGCGACTTCTCTAGCTTGGCGCGAACCACGACAGGCTGCCAGGCACCACAGCAGAATCCACACGCAGCCATGTAGTAAATATACATTTCTCCACCTTGGGTGGTCCCTTCTTCCTGTCCAGCGCCATACCCCAAGTCCTCACGTCCAACTTCCCCCTGTCGCGTGCGCCGCAGTATTGCATCCGCGACCTTGCTGACCCCGCGGTAGTCCGCAACATTCACCAACTTTTCTCCCGCCTGACAAAATACCCCCATATTGGCCCGAATAACCTCCGACCCTGATATGGATTACTCGGAAGGCATGGACGAGTCGTTCCCCGTCTTTTACATCGGCCAGCATGAGTCGAAGCGGACCCTGCATGTGTCGCCCGAATTGGTCCAGCATGCCCAAGATCTCGGTGTAAGTGAGTCGACGACTTGCACAAAGGACCCTGGCTGACAACCTCCAGTATGATATGCTTACTAGCACCATCACCAACGACCACTTCCAGAACCGCGTCTTGAGCCTCCTCAACTCCTACACCCAGACCCTCGCCGAGTCGCAAGACCAACCGCTGCCTTTGATACCAGCCTTGGACAACTTTGATACGCCGCTTACTCCCAACGACATCATCGGTCAACTGGTAGCTTTCACTAGCTCCTGGATTGACCTCTCTTCGCCAGACCCAATCATTTCGCATTTGTCGCGACAAGTCTTCCATCTCGAGGTTGCCTATGCTGCTTTTTGTGGTGTTACCAATCTGGTCATCCCCGGGCCGAGACTCGCCCATGGACAGACCGGCGTATCTCAGTATGCTCGGTCCATCAAGGAAGCGCTCGTCACTGGATCTTACATCCAGCTGCACATCCAGATGCCCATGGACGGAAGACAGTCAGACTCGATCAGCGACGACATGGGAGACCTAGCTCGCTTCGCAAGACAAGAGTTTGAAGCAAGCACCGAGGCCAAGAACGTTGATTCTTGGAGCTCATGGGACGCTTGGAACACCATCAGATCCATCTGCAAGTACCACAACAGATTGTCAGTCATGCTCGATCTTCCGCGTCGACTTCCATCGTTGGCTGTCCAATCACGCTGGTTCTCCGAGCCTGTAAGACTACTCAATTTGTTGGCCTCGTCTTTCCTTGTCAATGCTCGCCAATCATTTGTTCTCTCCAAAGCGCACCAGGTCTTCATATTCCGTTGCATGCGCCTACAGCGTGGACCTTGGCTACTCATCTCGGATGTCGGCCCACTACCAGGCATCGATGACCCGGATATGATAATGTCATACTCAACCGGCCATCTATCCCCTCGCACAGTAGAGGATGCACCGAGCCCTGGGGCTTCAACAATGGCCGCTCCGACTCCAGCTGAATCAGCTGAGATCGCAAAGAAGGCTCCCAAGAAGAGCAGTAGCAGCAACGACCCAACTCCTCACCTGAGCTACGTACGATACCTGCAGCGCAATCAGCCACCCAAGAGCCAGATCGAAAGGTTTGGTGGTGGGTTCCAGGACTACCTACAGAGCCCACTGCAACCCCTGACGGACAACCTCGAATCTATCACATACGAAGTATTTGAAAAGGACCCGATCAAGTATGCGTGGTACGAGCGAGCTATCGCTCAGGCGCTGAAAGATTGGCACGCCGAGAAAAGATCGACTAGTTCCGATAACGGCGCTGTTGTTGTCGCCGTTGTAGGATCAGGTCGTGGTCCTCTTGTCACACGTGCACTCAATGCCAGCGCGAGTTCTGGGGTCCCCGTCAAGGTTTACGCCATTGAAAAGAACCCCAACGCCTACGTATTACTGCAAAGGCACAACATCGAGACATGGGGAGGACGTGTCACTGTTGTCAAAACGGATATGCGAGCCTGGAAAGGCCCAACACAACCAGATGGTACTTTCGGCAAAGTAGACATTCTCGTCAGTGAGCTTCTCGGATCGTTTGCCGACAACGAACTGTCGCCGGAGTGCCTAGACGGTGTCCAGCATGTCTTGAACCCAACTCACGGAATTTCGATCCCGTCCAGCTATACTGCGCACTTCACCCCCATCGCCACTCCAAAGCTTTGGTCCGATCTGTATACTAGGAGCACCAGCGTCGACCCAAATGCTTTTGACATCCCCTGGGTAGTCATGTTGACACAATTCGACTACCTCTCCACGGAGTCCCAAGAAACAATCGCTTCCCAACAACTGAGCAACGGCACCAAGATGCAGCACTTCAACCTAGAAGCGCCACTTACACCGAACGTGCGAACAGCATGGGAGTTTACCCACCCCCTCCCGCCTTCGGTTCTAGCTCAGTCCTCGCTGCGCAAGGGCGGTTCGGCAGTAGGTGGTGGAGGCGGCTTCAGCGGCGGCGACGGCGCAAACGAACACAACCTACGCTACTGCAAGATTGCTTTCCCCATCCAGGAGCCCGGTGTCTGCCACGGTCTCGGCGCGTATTTTGAAACCGTTCTCTACAGCGGGTCTGAAGGGCCTGTGGAACTCAGCACGAACCCTGTTACCATGGAGCAGAAGAGCAAGGATATGATCTCTTGGTTTCCCATCTTGTTCCCACTCAAGGTATGTATCCGCTGGACATGACCATGTATAGAGGACGAGAACTGACGTCACGTGTAGAACCCCATGCAGCTTCCTGCAAACTCAGAGGTCGAAGTCAGTTTCTGGAGACAGACGGATGATCGCAAGGTGTGGTATGAATGGCTTGTTGAGAGTTATATGACGATCAACGGACAGAGGATACGATTGAGTGTATCTGATCTCCACTCGAGCAAGTCCAATGGCTGCATGATGTGAAAGGGATATTGATAGTGTTCTCTTAGTGTCTGCTAGATACCACTTCACCTGCGGGACAAAAAGTTGCTGATTATCTTGCTTCACCAGTTCTTCACCAGGGCCATGTTACATAATTACTTGTAACTCCACTGCGGTGCCACGACGACGGGTTTGTGCACGAGGAGCGCACTCGTGCTATGTAGCCTCACTACGGGATACCAAGTCGCTCGCACGCCAGAGTTCAGGATATCGCTTATGATTCGTGGTATCTCAAACTGAAAAAAAAAAGTTCTCCTTTGCGCCATGATGGTCTTCCTGCTGTGCTCTTCTCCAAAATCGACCTGTTCTTTTCGCAATCGAGCATACTCGCATCAACTTTACAAGTACTCCTTCTTCCGTCCCGTCCTCGTGTACTGGTTAAGATGCCATTCCACATCCCCCTCCTTATTATCCAGCGTCCCTGCCCTAATCTCGAACAATCGCATGCTCATCCGCGGTCCCACTTCGGCCAGCTCAACCGACTGGAAACCTGTCTTGACAAAGACGTGATGTCGCACCTCGATCGTATCCTCGATGTTCTTGAACGTGACAACGCGGTTACCGACCTTTGCCGTGGCTTCGCGGGGCGGGAAGAGATGTTTTAGAATCTGTACGCAGCGCTGTCCTAGCTTGGTGGAGAAGCCTTCGAAGATTAAGTGGGGGTAGGATTCGGAGACTGTGCCGCGGGAGGCGTTGGGGATATCGGCGCGGAGAACGACGTTGCTGGGACGTGTGAGTAAATGGACAGTGCAAGACGCTGGTGGAGTGCTTACTGTAGTGAGAAGCTGGCGGTTGGGCCGTGAGGGAAATGCGAAACTGTTAATGCCGTGGGCGTTCCTCGGTGCTCGTGAAGCAAGACTATGTCGCTCAGTCCGCCCGATTTTGCGCTCTCGACCAAGTTTGGCAGGATCATGTTTCCACGGTTCAATCGTATGGCTGTGGGTAACAGTAATCTGATCTCCTTGGCGAAGGTGCCCAGTCTACTTGACGGGTCTATCTCAGCGTCAGCATATCCATGTCATGCTGCATCTCCCAGGCTGTTGTACCTCTCGAAGTTGTGACCAATATCCGCGGATCTACGACGCCCGACAGCTGCGCATACTCATCGTCTAGCCCGAGCTCTTCCTCTGCTGTCCTATCCGCCCTGCTCTCATCGTATTTGTAGTCCTGGCGCAGGGTCTGGTCCTCGGCGACATCTTTGGACAAAGGCTTGCCGCTGGCGAGGGAAGCTTTCAGTGCTGCTCTTTTCGAAGCGAGCTCAGCATCGCGGAGAGTCAGAGCGCGGCGGTACAGGTAGTCGCGACGTTCTCGGGCTTGTTTTCGGATCATGGTCGAGGTATGTGACGTGTGGTTGGAGATTTGCTCGAGGCGCAATGTTAGAGTTCGCGACGCAGCGACGAAAAGTAAAAGTGGGCCGATCGAATGAGCTTATCGATAACGCATCCAATGCAACAACTTTGGACTACAGACTTATCTATTCACGTCGTGCTTAACATGTACTGCAAAAATATGCGCTTTCGCTCACATCATCATACGTCGAAACTGGATACAGTGAAGGCTTCTAGTATGCACCTCTGGTAGTTGCAAAATCGACAACGTTCGCGTCCCTCGTACTGCAACTAAAGACTACCTGGTTCCACAAAAACTCTACCCCGTCGAACCGGTACACCAGGAGGAGACGTGGGCTCGAGATCCTCATTCCAACACTCATAAAATGCCGCCCAGATATTGCTACTGAAGTCGGCCTCGACAGGACCCGGAAACTCGCCGATGAGATATCCAACACCACGCGTCGCCTCGCTGTAGAAGTTACAAGCGTGCGCAGACTCTACATGATAGCTTGTAGGTTGGATGTAGTAGCCATCATTTCTCTCGGAGCTGATGACGCGAACGTTGTTGTGACCGGTGATATCGAGTTGGTAAACCTTGCCCTCGCTGTCGGTAACGTAGCCCACCTCGCTGGTGAACGTTAGCATTCATTTGCAGTATTTGTCGTGCATAGCGTTTTGCTGTCGATTGACTTCTTCTGCCGACACGGTATGGTCCGATGCGATCTCGAAGGGGGCTGACTTACTTGAGAAGCTCAGAAGCTACAATGGCAGATGCGAATGCGAAGGCGCCGAGGAGTATTGTGGAGAAGTGCATCGTAGAAATACAATGATCTCTTGAGTTGCAAGCTATCAATTTCGACGGGAAGACAGCTGGAGCGAGGACACCGAGGGCTGGAAGGAGAAGAAGATGAGGCCAATCACCTATGGAAGGTAGTCACGAGCGCCTCCGTCTTGTCGCTGCCTTATGTGTTGTTGAAGCAAGAGCGTTTGCCTTGGTGACTGTCTTGCAACTGTGGGCCGGTACGACAACTCATGTTGCACAAACGGGCACTGACAGGTTATACTTATCCTACAGATAATAGCGTTTTTCTAGCATCGATGACTACCGTGGAACCGAAGATAAGCAAAGAAAAAAAGGAATAAAGAGAACATGTTAGTATGTATTAGGTGCTACAAGAGAACGACTTTCTTACGAGCTGAACTACGAGCTGAACCCTAAGCACTAAGCTAGAAGACGAACGCTTGGCCTTTGCCGTTCGAGACTCAAAACTAACAATAACGTATCCGACAAAGTGTGCTCTAGTCTCGGGCCCAGCCCTTGAAAACGATCGCTTACTACAACCCGCCGCAGGGCTTAGCGATATACAGTATGTACATTGGCGCTCAAGCGGGAGGGTTATGGCAGCTCCAGAAATCAGGCTGCTTCTTCCAACGGCGTTCTTTCCCCGTGACAATGTCACAGCGTCCAAGCCTATCGATAGTCTCATCGACGCCACTGTTGCAGGATCCGGAGTCGACAGAACTAGATAAGCAAGCATTAGCACGTAGACATTCAGTGCCTCGGGCGGAAGTTGAGGTAGTATGTACTCACTAGTACAAGTTGCACTCGCAGTTCAACATCTTGATACCAGTGACTTTGTCTGGGTTTAAGATCCTCTGGCACCCATCATAGCCCAGCTGCTGGTTGACCTTATCTCCGATCATGACCTCGGCACAGATGTTTGGGTTGATGTAACATTTGTCGTTCTTTGTCAAGACGCTACGCGCTGTGTGAGAGAAGTCTCGGGGATGGGTTGCAGCAAAAGCAACCGAGGAGAAGCCCAGGAAGGCGATAGAGAAAGAGCCGAGGAGATGCATATTGTTAAGGTCGCCAGGAATTGCCTAGAGATCGGTGTGCAAGGTCAGTATCTGTCTCACATGCGGTTTGTAGGCGGGTGTTACTTGCGTTGAAGTGTCGATAGGAGCCTGGGGTCGATCTTGCTGTCCACTATCGTTCGGCTTGTGGAGAAGGAGTAGGAGGTGGACCTTTCCTGCCTGCTTTTATATCAACCCACGATGACACGCCAGGTCGTGCCGCATAACGCATTCGCATGCAGCTCGAGATCGTTCACCGGTAAGATTGAATCATTCTAGGAATGTGTGGCCGAGCCCGCAGAGGGCTCGCGCTCTATGGCTCGGGCCGCGCTTTCCACGGGATCCAAAACGCGCGGAGAACGACAAATCCACTACTCCGGACACTATGAGTATTGATTCAAGCTCGCATACGTGCATTTATATTGCCAGCTCATCAATCATGCACTGTTGTGGCGTGAATGGGGGCCGACGCTGTTCTTCGAACGTCAATCCAGACGCCATCTCGCATGTGAGGCGTGGTAGGAGTGAATCCTACTCGTATTAGAGATATCAATGACATGCAATAATTCGATCTAGAACCGAGAAGACTAACGGAACTGTCAATAGGCTTGGGGACTGACAAATAAGTTGGAAAAAGCCTGAATGCGTTCGCAGTGTCTTCATGTACTACATGCACAAGAAACGAAACTGCGCATTCATTCGGGCTAGAACATCAACATTTCGGCTACGATGAAGAGAGGAATATGATGGAGGAAAAGTTTTATTATGCTAACCAAGTCATGATGAAATCTACCAGCGCCACAAATAATCGTCAACGCGGCCAAGTCAGTAGCTCAGCCACCACTGACATACCAAAGATGTACTCAGTTATAGTATTACCCATCAATCCTTCATGTCTATCCGACCCACTCATGAATGTGTTAGCCAATCGTCGCGCACTTGTACCACTTGGGATTCGGGTCCTCGAAGCAGGGCTCCTTTCCGGGTGTGCCAGTCGGCCCTTCGTACATGGGTGGATTGGTTGCTCCTTTGCACTTCTCCTCGCTCCTAGTAGTTGTTAGTATACACCGCGCAGAGAGTGTATGTTCGCCTTCGTTAGTCTGACTCCGACGAGGGGGTTGTCTCGACAAGGACGCCGTGTATCAATGGGACTTACAAATGGAATGAGCATTGACATCCCCCATAGAGGCTGTAGGCATAGGCGTCTTGATATCCAGGGATCGATTGGTTGTAGTAGATCGCTGTGCAATCAGAGTATGCGGAGATACCAGCGTAGGCGCTGCTGTTCCGGACGGTGAGAACGTAGCCGCAGTTGTACGGCTCGCCGTAGGTAGGTGCGGATAGTGCGATAGGTAAGGTAGAAAGCAAACTCGTGAGGATGGCGGTGAGCTGCATCGTAGTTATCTATCGATGGATTTGGCTTCGATAGAGACGTGGTATGTCACTGATAAATCGCGGAGGATGTCGGAGACGTGGTTGTGCAGGCTACAACAGGGCTGGAGGCCTTTGAAGACAATCTTATGAGTGTAGTTTGGATGGTGTACGATGCTCCAACAGAAAGCGTGCGAAGCCTAAATACCACATTTGAGTCGCTATGAGCTCATGCTCAAATGTTTTCGCCAGTCGTAACCGAGCTGTCAAAATGCAAGTTCCCGTCATCAGCATGGCTTTGGTCCTCCCTTCCTTGCCTATCATGGATGTCGGGAGTTACACACAAATACTGTTTGGATGTCACCTTCGCTATCCTGACGAATGCACCTACTATAATGTCCTATCAAACACGGTGAACACGATCAGGAGCCATATGTGCAATATGTCGGTCAGGCCGAGTCGACGTGTTCGGAGTTGGGAGCAGGTTGACCGCCGAACCGCGCCTCTCCAGTACAACGTTGGAATGTATTCGAGACGTTAGCAACAGTAGCATGGCGTAATATATGTGTCGATAACATAGCTCTGGTGTGCTTGGCACGGTTTGCTACTTCATCTCTACGGGAGCGCGAACGCCGATTGGTCAATGGTAGCGGTGAGTATAGTTGGAGGTGTTACTGCAACGGTATGACGAAGGAGACTGGAAATAAGTAGCGCTCGAAGTGGTCGTACCAGTTCCCTAGATAGATGTGATACGAGCAAGTTTAGCAGCATCACGACAAATACAGGCGAAAATGAGAGTTGTAATGTTACAATGGATGCAGTGCTCTAAAAATCCGGTGCTCGGCGTCGCGAAACCGGAAATGTGCCCTGAAGGCTGTCGCGATATTTCGTGTCAATGTCTTAGAAAACGGGATGATGGTGTATGCCTCAAAGGTGTTTTATAGCTTCCTGGTGATAGGAACACGAGAGAAATCTGTGGCATCTTGAATCGTTCGCACCGTCTAGTGAATGTGGTCAAGAAGATGGGAGAGAGGGCACGTCGATGCTGGTGATGACGAAGAGGGGTGGCTTTAGCGTGCACGTGAGAACGCGAGACCTCACGCGTCAACATCGACACAGGATCAAACGTCCAGACCCATATTCAGACTCAATCCATTTCGCGCACAATATGAGCAGAGCAAGCATAGAACAAGCCCTCACGGGCTTAATACCCACGCTGAGCGGGCCATTGCCAGCCGAGCTGATAGAGCTCGCGCTTTCGCTACTGACGCGGTCGCGAAGCGTCGCGACATCGATGAAGCCAGACGAAGAGATCGCACGACCATACGCATGTGCGCAATTAGCATGTGAGAGGTATGAAGAGCACCCAACGCACGTTTTGGCATCACGCTGACATCTAAAAGGCTGAAGAAGCGTCTCAACCTCCCGACCATCCAATCGCGACCGCCTTGCCCCCCACGCATATACAAGAAACTATACAACTACCTTAGCAGCGCACTCCCAGAGAGCACAGCGACCCGCGAGCCAACTACACCGCGAAAGCCGACAGCTTCAGCTCCGGCATCAGCACGCAACACACCGTCAAAAACGCCGTTGGGCGCTAGGAAAACACCAAGGAGGGTTGAAAGCAATGGCGAAGCACCAGAATGGGTTATGCCCACTATACGCGCCTTGGCAAAGTCATTCGACTACACCGGTCTTATACCCCACGTATACACAGGAGTAGAGTCTATCTATCCGCTGCTATCCCGAATGTCCGCCGCTGCCGCCGAATCACCCAGCAAGCGACCTAAAAGAACCACAGTATTGTCCTATGGGGATGTCAGCGATACGCGCGTACTAAGTCTCATCGTCGTGGTTTTTCTCCTAGTCTACTCGCGCATGAAAGACATAGAGGTTTCAGTACAACAATACAACGAATGGCTGGCGAAAGCAATCAAGGCTGTCGTTGAACTACCTGCTGCCAAGGACATTACAGACGAGGAGCTTCAGATCAAGATAGAAGAGACGATGAAGATGGCAAAAGAAGAGGGATGGTTGCAGATGCAGTGGTTCGATAGTGTGAAGCCTCAGAGTGATGGAGATGAGATGGAAGGCGTGGAGATGAGCGATAATGCGGCAGTCAAGGCGAAGGGTATGGGGTTGAAGGCTGGTGGCAGTGATTATATTGGCTTGGGTACTATGATGCAGGATGCAACTGATTATCTGGGTGAGCGTCAGCAGGAAGATTATACGAGATGGAAAGCGAAGATTTTGGCGAGAGTGCAAGAGATTGAGGCGTCGGCGTAACTAGACCCTATGAAGAATAGGATGGAACGCGAGCGACCCGTTGCAGCAACACACGAGAAAGCGAATTCACAGGCGCACATTACCGAACGCTTGGTTGATAAATCCGAATTGCAAAAGGCTATAGCAGGTCTCAGTAGAGCCCCCAGGGGATTCGCAGCATCTTTCATGGCCACATCTACGTTGCAAGGTTCAACACCTCCCTCAGTCATACCCGTCATACGGCGCGCCATGCACAACTCTAAGCCATTACAGTATGCACCCTAATTACGTTCTTCCCTCGCTTCCTGACACTGGCGATTCGGCTGTCCATCACGCCTACCGGCTCATCCGGTCTGGTCACCTCAGCTGGTGGTACATCTCCAATACTGAAGAATATGTGTAAATCATCTTGAAGGCGTCGATTTTTGAATGGCGATTTCTCATTCTTGACTACAGTCACTTTAGTGATCCTCTTGATTCCAAGTTCGGCCTTGTGTGCTGCAAGCAAGTGACCAGCTGTGGCGCCTATGGGTGAGCCTGAAGGTAATCAGTATGAGATCTTAGCAAAACCAGGGAGTTGAGGATAAGACCAGGTCCAATCCACGGCTTTCCCAGTCGACATTCTCAGTTGTCAAGCGTCGATGCATGCTACAAGACTTACCGATCAGGACTCGGAACTCCTCGCTCCCAATATTGAAGACGTTACCCGGCCAGACGGACAATTTATTTGTGCCGACATTCTTCAAGGCTCGAGCTACCAAAAGAGTTGTGTCCGTATTGATGACATTGTGAGCGCCATAGACCCGGAAGTTCTTGACATTGGGGTTATCGCGGACCCAATATGCCCAGAAGACGTCAGACGCGAATTCGATTGCAGGAAGCTCTCCAGGGTTGGCACTACGACCCCAAGACATCGGACTAAGAACGGCATGGCGTGGGCTCTCGATGTTCTTGGCAATGAGACCTCCATCATGGTTGATAGCGAACTGGTAGACGCCGGCTGTGGCCTGTCGTGTCTTGTTAGTATTCTGTCCCGATGTAGGCTGTTGTACCTGCCTGTGCATATAGATTTGACGTACTGTATACTCCTTACCGTCGGCTCTGTACTTCTGGTCCTTGATAGGAATCGTCTGGCCCCATTCGTCATCAGGGTCTGCAACCCAGTATTCGTCATAATGTTGAATTGAATAGCAGTCGTTGCTCCCGGCTTGTGGATCACCCTCATCGTCGTACTTTGATTGTGAGTTGAGACCGAGACCTTCAAACGTCGTCTTGAGTCCCATGCCCTCGAAATCACATTCCCAGCCCTTGTCGTACTGCGACTCGTGCCAGAACCATTTTTGGAGTTCAGCTGTCGGAAATGTTGGTCTCCTGGTATCGAGATTATGAAGAGATTGTGCTCACCTCTAAGATCACCCGTCCACTTGCTCGCGGCTGAAGGTGGTTTTCTGGGATCCTTCTCTAGCCATCCTGCGCCTGCGTCCGTAGCCTCCATCAAACACATCATGTGGTCTCCCTTCTTGAGGTATTTGTCCCAGAGAGTCTTATCAGCCACATTTTCTGGATCAAATGCGTTACCTCCCAGGGCAGGCGCGAACTCAGGAGGGTTGAACAAGGGAGGGGCCCCCGAGGGGTCGACGCCGAAGATCTTGGGTGAAAGCGCAGGCCTCTCACTAACAGCCAAGGAGGCCACTGCTACAATGACGCCTGAAGCGATTCGGAGCCTCATATTTGGGATTGCTGCGATAAGTTGGGTGTGAGACCCAAATACTGAGGGGTGCGTGGTAGACAAGGAAAGCACGTTTGTCACTCGATATACGCTAGCCTCATTCAGGGAAAAAGTGAAAGAGCGACCAGTGAGCGAAGTTTTGGCGCACGACAGCTGGAACCTAACATCAGAGTTGTGTAGAACTCAGCAGAATCATATATACGCACGATCACTCCTTGTACAGCTCCGCAGTCCTCACTCTCCCTTCATCAAGCACACTACCCAAAAGATCACCCTCACTACCACCTCGCGGCACAAGCCTCACTCCGAAATCCCTTGGTATAGCCACTAAAGCACTCTTGATCGCGTTATAGTCCACGTAATCCGTGTTTGGTGGATTCGTCACACTGGCCTCAATCCTGTATAGACTGAGCAAACGGAACAGCGCAGCATAGATCAGCTTGCTCGCTATCAAAGCGCCAGGACAAGACCTAGATCCGGCACCGAAGGAGAGGTGAGGCGGGCTAGCGTGCGAAGTCGGTGTATGTAAGGCGTCTGGGGATGAAGGGGGGGTGAGCCAGCGTTCTGGGTCGAAGGTAGCGGCTGTAGGGCCCCAGTAGTCGGTATCTATAAGTCGTTAGCTATCCATCACATTACCCTCAGCTGGCTGAAGCTGGATATTTCCGTACCATGGTTACCAGCCTGAGCGTTGATCAACACCATCGTCCCTTTCGGGATGACAGCATCCCCCCACCTAACCTCTCCCATTGTCTTACGCGGCAAACTCATATTACTAACGGTATAGTACCGCCCCGCTTCCTTCACGATAGCGTTCAGATATGGTACGGTTTCTTTCTCAAAGTCTGTTGCCCAGGCTTCCTTCAACGCCGCGTCGGTGGGATACATTTTGCGTATCTCGGCATACGCGCGGTCTTGGAAGATCTGGCCTGCGGGTGTGGAAAGGGAGCCGATACAGGATACAAGCGTACCAGGTATAGTTTCGAAACCGCCAGAGACGAGAGACAGACAGATGGAGCTTACTTCTACGCCCGTGAGGCGGGTTTCTTCGTCCTTGAGGATGGCGGCGCTGATGCATGGTTTTTCCGTACCGTTCTTGATCATCCCGCGGACTTTGTCAAGAAGTTCGTTCAGATACTTGTCTCGCCGTTCACGCAGTTCTTTGGAGCGCCGGTTCTTTTCGTTGTTCGGCAGGTATCTCAAGATGGGGACGTAGTCTTGGTAGTTCTCAGAAGCGGAGCGGAGGAGCGAGATGGCGGATCCCACTTCGAGGATCTCGCGGAGCAGATCGTCGTAGACTGCGTCCATGCGGATGCCATAGCATAACGTGAGGGTTGTGTTGAGGGCATAGCGTTGTATGTACGGTCGAATACTGACCTCGACTTCTCCACTCTTGCTATCGCGATGGAGGTCGCGAAGGATGCAGTAAGACTCCAGGTCGAACATATCATAGTAGTTCTTCATCATACCCTTACTCAACGTAGTCGATGCAGCCTTGCGCTTGTTCCGACAACTCTCATCCCACGGGGAGCTTCCAATAGTGAAACCCTGAGTCGAGGAGATCAGACCATGGAATGTATACAGTTTTGGCCGATCGATCAGTCCTTGAGAATTTGAAACCAGGATCTTTTTACAATCTTCGAAGGAGTTGACAATCACAGCGCGCGTATTACCAAGTCGGATCTGGAAGACAGAGTTGCCGTACTGCCGCCACCATTTCTCGCATACTGTAGCATGGTCGTCGCCGAGCTGGGTGAGATGACCCGTAATTGGGAGAGCGCCCGGTATCTCTGGCAGACCGTGGATATACGGGACGTCAGTGCGGGTGAACAGCTGTCAACGTTAGCTCATATCTCCTGGCATTCAATGGCATGCTCACTTTGTATATTACGAAAATTGCAATTGCAACGAACGAAACCACTGCCACATGACCAGAAGGGAGGTACCTGGCATGTGGTACTATATCCGGCAAATGATCCATGTTGGAAGTGAACAACGCGAAGCTTATAGATCAGCAGCAAGTGGAAATAGCCATTAGTAGAGCGTCAGAATGGTTTACTTATACTTGCCATGATCCAGACCTATTAACACACTGCCTGCACTCAATACTATCGTGCATGATTGTGAGGGGTTCGTTCGGAAGCATTCCGAAGATAACGGCCGCTTATCAGTGCTGCTCCCACCTTTGAGTTGCTGAACAGCCGCTGAACGCGCTGACAGCACTTCTTGACCAACATGAAGGAGACTATCGTGGGCCTAAAGCTCCTTTCGCATGCAGCTGCCGAATCAAGCTAATGACGTATGCGAAATAGAAAGAATGTAAGAATACTGTACACCATCTCACCGTTCGTCGTGATCAAGCCTGAAAAGCCACAATGATGGTATACACAGCAATCTACGTTGGTGTACTATCAAAAAGGTGACAGTGTATACCTTTGAAATACGTTATCGCGTAACTGTTAGATCAAGATCAGATGTCCAGAAGCTTAGCATGCTTAACATCAATCTCATCAACAAAATCTCCAATATCCCCAACCTCCGCGTACCCTTCCGTTTTGCCGAATCCCAAATGTTGCTCAACGCTCTTCCACGGACACAAAGCCACAGAAACATTTCCCTTGTCTCCTTTCCCACTAACACACCATCCACGCCCTGTCTTACCCTTTAACTCGTTTATATGACCCTGTAAGAACCGCAGTTCTTCATTAAAAGCATCGAGGAACCGGTGTCGCTCATCAGCCTTGACGTTGCAATGAACGATACTCCATACCAGTTCCCCACGACGCGCTTGTTCGAGTTGCGCCTGAGTTGTCGGCAAGGGGAGCTCAGCGTTCGATACATCAAGGTGTTCGAGGTTGGAGTCTACAGTAATCGCGTCTTTTAGACTCTCCAGTAAAGCTTGGTTGTCTGCGCTTGGGATGAAATCGTTTAAGTGCTGATCAAGCGAGTCCCATTCTCCGATGACGTAAATGCAAGATGGGTCTTCCGTCTGCTGCATGTAGTAGAAGGTCCGGCCGGTGTAGTTCTGCAGGACTGTTTTTGCGTGCGACAGTTTCGAGCGGAGGGCGGCATCGTCGATTGTGGTACCGGGTGTGAGGTGGAGGAGAGCGAGTTCGGTGATGGGCATTGTGGGCGCGTATTTGGTGGCTGCAATGGCTATGTTATCGCATTGTTAGTACATGATCAAGAAGACGTGTCCCTCTTTATGGCATTATTGTGGTGCGTGATGTGCGCGTAAGGCAGACATGGCTGCGTAATTATCCTCAGGCAGAAGTCTGGTTGCGTGGAAAGGAGGATTCAGGTTGCAGCGCGATGCATGACACGCGAACGCTAGTAAGCCACCAACGGTACTTTGGCTGCCCTGGACCCGGTATTATCACTATGACTTCCAACGCTATGTCCAACTGGGAAGCTGAAAGAATACATGTCGCATACTTGACTCCATACGTTAGGTCAACCGTCGTTGTAACTGTCTGTCTTGAAGTACCATTGCCGCCGCCACACGTCAATTACGAATGCACGATATTGCTTCGCATACGCATGTACGTCCAAACTGTCAAAGATTGTCTCCCTGATAATAGCAGATCTGGTAACGATATGTATCGAAAGAAGAGGAGAGCGCGCCACAGTCGACCTGTCTGCAAGGTACGTCCTTGGCCACCTTTTTATCTGTGTAATCATTGGTGGTATTGTACATAGTGCATCTGCGTGTGCCCTGGCAGCAAACCATGACACCATGGATCAATGTGGTTTCAAGTGCAGTGCTACTGACCCATCAATATTTTCAACGTCTCCACCCCCGCTCCAAGCACGTCTGGACTTCTCGTCCCCTTCAGCACTTCCTTCAAATCCTCTATCACACCCTCTGCCTTACACTTTTCCACCCCCTGAGGCACATCCACTACACTCCTCAAACAAACGATCCCCCGATACCTGATCCCCTCATCATCATCTTTGCACAGCCCTACCAGCCACTCGACACTCTTCTTCTGCTGCAAAAACTCCAGCACAGCGATATCAACACTCAGCAGCATAGCCAGTGCGCCACCAGCCGCTGAACGCGTAGCAGCGTCATCAACATCTGTCATGGCGAGCAGAAGGTGCAAGCGATGTTTCGCGCGGGGGCTTCCGTCAGCGAAGTTCCCAATACATACTGGTGAAGCCATGAGATTGCATATGAGTTCCGTTGCCGCACGTCGTATCATAGTATTGGCACTGAGTAGTAGATCATCGACAACAGTATCGAAAGACTGGCGTATAATATGGTCTTGTGTATTCCGGTCCAAACTCGCGAGGTTTGTGAGCGCGAGCAGCGATTCAAATGCGTGTAGTTGCCATGTGCTCGAATCTGTTCGCTGTAGTTGGCTGAGGAGCGGGCGGATGGCTGATGTGGTTGGTAGCGCGGCATTGAAGACATGGGAAGGGTTTATGCTGATCAAAAGTCGGGAGAGTGCTTGTGCGGTCGTGGGCAAGGCGGCTGGTGGGAAAGGCGTTGTGCCTGTGGTTGAAAGATCGTTGGTGGAGGATATGTGGTCCCAGATCTGGATGAGCAGTTTGACCGCGCCCTGCTGGGCCATCAGACCTCGGGACTTGGTCTCTTTCGAAAGCGAGAGGAGTATCAGACTGCTCTGTGTAAGGATCGATGGAGAGCCCTTTTTGCAGACGTGGACGAGGAGGGGGACAACCCCGGCTTCGAGAATGCGTTTGCATCGTATAGCGACGTCTTCGTCATTGAGTAGGACGTGTGGTGCGGATGGCTTCTGGACATTGGCGTAGGCTTTTAGTTGTGCCATGCGCTTCTCCTCTTCCGATTGCAAAGGGAGGTATTGTGTGATGTTGACGAAAATGGTGAGACCGCCAAATACGATGTTCTTTGGTGATGAAGGATCACTCATGGTTTCGATGAGGCGTTTGAGGAACTTGGGCGATTTGGAAAGATCCTCTCGTACTTTGGGTTGAAGAGAAGCATATGCTAGACCCTCGACAGAATCCTGCTTTGAAGATGTGTCGCCGCCTATGACCATTGACTTGAAGCTAGCGATCAGATCACTCTGGTCTACTTTCTCCGCCCTGACAATCCTTGGCGCATCCTCAGACGGCTGCTCCTCGCCCAGCTTGACGAGTATGAGCGCGGCTAGGTTAGCCCGCTTCTTATTCTGACTTTCTGCAACCACGTCCTCCAGCCATTCTCTGCAGTGCTTGCTGATCGCCTCTCGGCAATTCTTATCCACGCATGCAGCGCTGATAAGTTCTAGAGTCGCTTGTTCGAGGTTGTGCGACTTCTTGCTCTGGACCCTAGGCACCAATGTGCTGACGAAGCCCTCTGTAAGGAACAATGCAGCTGCTGGCGTGACAGCGACTGGGAAGATGGCTGCAGCCGCTGAAAACGCGATAACGAGGTCGTTCGCTTCTCCCTTCTTGGTCCGAGCCGCAACAAACTTTGAAATCAACTCGCTGGCAGTTTCTGGTGCAAGTTCGAATAGCTTGATACTTGCGAGGGTAGCTTGACTGCGTAGGCTGGCAGGTAGTCGGATATCCAGTGAGGTGAGAATCACGTCGAAGCTATCCGCATCGATGATACCCTTGAGATGCTCTGCATAATGAGCGAGCAGCTGCGCAATGCCTTTCATCGCACGTTCTGGGTGCTCGAGCGCCTCCTCCATCATCATGGCTAGACTGAGCATGAACATGTCTCGATGACCTTGCTTGAACGATTCATCGTCGGGCCAAATCGCTCGGTTGAGCAAGACCTTGAGCAAGCCGTCGATAGAGTCGTCACCCCGCTCGAACATTTCGTAGTAAATCCGCGTCGGCTGCTCCCGGACGGCTCTCGCAAGCCACATCTGTGCTCCCGGATTCTTCAGTAGCTCACCCGAGACCTGATCCAATACATCATCTTCGCCCTTGAAGTCAAACAAAATATCCATCGCTTGTTCTGCTTCTTTCTGCTTCAAGCCATGTGTTTTTATCGCCTTGAGTGCCTTTTCTCCATCGTGTTCATCCTTGCTCCTCACCCAAGCTCGACAGTAACCCAGCAATTCGCTCTTGTCTTCCTCTTCCTTCAGCGCAACCCATGCTTCCTTGATGCGTGGATGCTCAGGCGCAATCGTACTAGCCTCACGCAGGTACCGAGCTGCAACAGCTAATTCGCCAGACTTGGTGCTCTCATTTGCCCTCTCCACAAGCTGCACCGCCCTGTCTTCGTCAGAAGTAGTTGCCATTGTGAGGTGTATGGTGAATGGAGATCATCTCAACTGACCAACTTGTGGGCTCATGGTTGCGTACGTGTCACGGGGCCTGGAACGATTTGATGCAGGATGCACGGGCCTCAGCGGAGCTATTTAGTGGAGAGCGGGGGATGGCTGATCAGCTCACCCAAGTTCCGCCTGCAGCGATCCTGAGGCGTCAAGTCATCGAGAGCACTTGCCGAGCGGGGTATGCAGAATCTTGTTCGTTACCAAATACGGTTCATGAAGTCATTACAAATAATCTAATCCTCGCTCTTCAGCAATGAAGCCTATGCGAATCTGTTCTGCGCCGAAAGATATGCGCCTAGAAAATGCTCAAGTACTAGATGCTTCGCGAAGAACAATGAAACCACCAAACGCAACTCCAAAAGTATCGTACAAGACCCCAACCAAAACCATATGCAAAACGCTATGCGAAACCCAATATGTAATTGCGAAACGTGCGCCAATTCCATTCCCAAATGTCCTTGTCCCCACAACTCCATGCTTATATGTTCTCATCATCGTATGCACCACTATTTGCCGTCGTCGACAGCAGTATCTGCTCGTTTGCGCTGGATAACGCCAAGGAACAGCAGGCGCTCCCATACATCGTCCTTGACGAGCACGCGCGTTTTGTCGAACGGCAGCCCGTCGAGCTCCCTCAAGCTCCTGCATAGATTGGCAAGCATCATCTCGGTGACCCGCCGCCTAATGCGGGTTTCGTAGTCCAGTCGCTGGAGGTGTTGCACATCTGCTTCAACTTCCCCCTCAGGTAGAACGAAGCGGTTCGTGAGCTGCTCGTCGGAGGGTTTCTGCCTGAGAGACATGACCCGGTTTTCACATGTCGGAGCGTAGAAGCGAAGCGTGAGCGGGTTGTCTCGCCAGTCTAGCTTCGAGAGTGTAGCCAGCTTGCCCAAGACCATTGCGTTGGCACGTAGGCGCTCGAGCTTGTTGCCTGCCAGGAGAAGCTCACTTAATCGCTTGATGTTGAGGAGTGGCCGAAGATCTGTCAAAGAGTTGAAGTTGAGGTTGATAGATCGAATGTTCGGCGTAAGCTGACCGAAGTTATCTGGTAGTTCCTTTAGGCCCATGGAAGCCAATTCTAGGCGCTGAAGACTCAGTAGATGTTGCGAGATCTGAAGGCCGTACGTCGGATTGAGCGAGAGATACAGGTTGCGGACTTCTGTATTCCTGACAAGATTGCTCGCACACATCTCCATGTCCGACTCCGAGTTGAGGATCTGTTCGCGAGCGGAGAATGTGCGTAGATGTCGAAGATGTTCTAGGCCAGATACTTGGGTCAAACAGTTGCCATCAACATAGAGAGACTCGAGCTTAGGGAAGTACTGATCAACATCAAGCATCGTGGTTCCGTTCCGGCAGATACGGATAGACCGTAGGAATCTGCAAGGCTTGAAAGCCGTGTCGATAAGTGGAAACTCCTCTATCTCATTGTCGTCTGCGTATCGTTAGTAATGTCCTAGCAAACGTAGCAACCGAAAAACATACCAAGGTTGAGATGCTGGAGCTGGGGCAAGCAGTGCAGGTTCCGTACTTCAAGCAAGTGGTTCTTCCTCAAATCCAGATCAGTGAGAGATTTCCTGTCGAACAGATTAGCAAACAATGATGAGATGGAGTCTCTAATCGGACTCACAGATTTGTTCGGCTGAAGTCAACCGTGTCGATCTCGTTGCCGCGAACGCTTAATTCCATCAGGCCATCGAGATGTAGAATGCCTTGAAGAGATCTGATCTTGTTGTTGTCCGCCTTCAGAATTCGGAGATGCACCAATTCAGCGAGGCCGTCCAATCTGTCGATATCATTACCGGATATGTCAAGGTGTTGTAGGTTGACGAGGGTCGTCCAAGAGGTAAGTCCATTCAGACAGTTGTTCTGTGCTTGCAGTCGACGCATGGAGTAAGGAATACCCTCAACCTGATTGATCTTATTGTCTGAAACATCGAGCTCCTCGAGGTGGTAGCAGAGCTCATCTAGACGGTGCAAGCTGTTAAGGTCCTTTTTGTGGAGATTGACAGTACGAAGATCTTCCCAATAAGGCTCATCGGGCTCGACATCCTGTAGTGCCTTCACAAGCTCAGCAGTGCCTTGTGCATAACGATCTTCTAGAGCTTTAGAAAACCGGCTACCGTTATGTTTCACCACAACTCGATCTGGGAGATCGAACTCATCGATCTGGTTGAGAGTAAACTCAGGTAGGTCACTGAGCATGAATGTGACATCCTTTACAGGTGATGATGGTGCAGTCACAAGCGTATCCCGTCGTCCATGGCGAAGAGAGGGCGCAGAGACGTTCATCGATAACTCCATCCGATAATTCTTCGACGGGGCATCATCCAAAATCGACAAGTCACCATCTCCGTTGAAGACGGGCAGACGACTGGGTCGTCCATGCGACATGGTACGGGTACCGTTTGTCTGTCCCCAAGCTGGTTGCTTCTTATCTGACATCTGCTGAGCACTGGAGGGTCCCCATTGTTGGCGGCGTTGCTTCTGAGCATTTTCGGGTTGAGGTTCGCGTGCTGGATCCTCGCGCTCAGCGATCGAGATAGTAACGTTTCGTACTCGCGGACGTTGCACACTTGCAGGAGCGTGGTCCCTCCCTTCGAAATACTGAATCTCATGTTCGACGCCATCTTCTTCTGATTCTGGAATGGCATACGTTGTAGGCGCATGAGGCATCTTGTGTGTGCTGTATATCCGCGGGGCTTGAGTGCTCCACGATGTAGCTCGTGTGTCAGTTTTGGGGAAGCTCCAGCCAAAGTTCGAGGCCTTGGAAGGTGCCGAGCTTGTTTCCGTGTATGCGACACCCTTGCCTTCACGGGTCACTGGACGCGAGTCTTCGTCGTCGTCTGGCTTCTCTGTATCTTCGAGGATGGTTTCTGCTGTAGGCTGGAGGCGGACTGGAGAGCCTGTTCTAGTATCTAGCTCAGTCGTATCTTCTACTGTCAGATCAGGAATGTTGCCGAAAGGATCATCTTCGCTAGCATTCATGGCGCTTGGTTCTTCCGCTTGTAGCTGGTGCTGCCTGGACGGGTTCTTCTGGCGGACCCAAATGTTCTTGTCGCGATCAAAGCTCATGCCTGCGACTTGCTGAGGGATAAGATGCGCCACCGCTTCGGGAGCTAGCGTCGCGACACATTCCGAACGACGTGATGCGTTTGTGACAATTGTGTTTCCGAAAGATGAAGCTGTCGATAGGAGTGTGGCGTTTCCACGAGGCGCAGAACTAGGGCGATGGTCCTCGTCATCCTCGGTCTGGTGCCTGTTTGGGTTGTCCGTGATCCGAATATCATCCTGCTCAACCACCACACTCTCTCCTTCTGGTGTTGCAGATCCTCTCAGGCGTGATACTCGAATAGAGTTGACCGAAGAGTTCAAGAAAGTATCGTTCTCGTTTTCTTGGTATTTGCGGAGGTGATTCTCGATTCTTGCATCTATGTCTCGCTTATTCGCGTCCTGCCAGGATGACTGTCGTCCTTCCTTGCTCGGGGGCCTTTCAAACGTTAACATACTGGAAGGATGGTCGTTGACTTCTTCGAGCAGCTGAGTCTCGGCTTCCGTTTCTTCGAGGCTGCCCAAACCACTAGTTGGTCGACCCTTGGTGCGGATAAAGTCCATGATTTTGAGCGCTTCATCCAGGAAATCTTGCGTGGTTACAGATCGTTTGCGAGTCTTATCGCGCGCGCCAGGTTGCCTCCTCAAAGTGAAAGCTGCGACCTGGTTGGCGACTGCCTTTGCATGTTCTCGTTCTGTATCAGTATCTGACATGATAGATGAATCTAGGTGTTCCTGAATTGTGTTGAGCTTTGGTGAAGCTTGGATGAAAGCTTCTGTAGCTTCCATGATCTCTGCTTGTATCTCCTCTCGCCTTCGTTGACTAGGCGTAGGGTTGCGTGGTCTCAATATGTGCCGTCGGGCTAGCGTCTCTGAGTCGGCAATGTTCGTCGAGGGATCTAGACTGCCGTCCTTTTGCGTACGTCCAACAACCGCCTGGATGGCTGCATGCGAACGCTGTATTGTGCCTGCTTCAGCATCACTCGGTATATCTTTGTTCTCTTCATCTTCATCTGCTGCAGTGATTGTCCTTCTACGCTTGGGAGTAGGGTTCTTGAACGGCGATGTCGGACCTCTCTTCCCTTCAGCATACTCGTGAACAACTTCTGAAAAATCTTCTTCTGGAAATGCCTCCGTCTTTTCCTCAGAGACCTTCCGGTGTGGTACAAACTTTGGCCGACTGACATTCCGACTGACATTTCTTATTGGGTTCGCTGCCTGGCTAGATACACGTCTACGAGCTTTTGAAGGCTGGCGTCGGACTGGTGATTCGTCAAGCTGGAACTTGAAAGGTTGGCGGCTGCCAGGAGGCGCAACATCTGTAGAGGGTGACTCGTCGGGGGCGCTATCGTTTTGCGCATCGTAATCATCATCGGATGTTATTGCAGAGTAGTCACCAGAGAATTCGTGCTGATTTAGCTGGCCTTGGCCGAAAGACGGAAGTCTGAATGGCAGTTCCGACTGACTTTGATCGAGGTTCTGCATGCTCCTTTCTTCTACCGATGTCAGCCTCGATTGCTTCGGCGCCGCCTTGCTTGACTCTGCCGTGCCCTCTTTGACACTAGAAGCTTTCTCAGATTTGTACTCAAGCTGACTAAGTCGCCTCTGTATACGGTTACTTGTGAAGGTGTCATGCGCATCGAAGAGCTTCAACGGACTTCCAGAGCCTTTTGCTCGGTCTGGACTCAAGAATTGTTCGCGTCGACGATGTGGTGTAGATGGGTTGGTGACCAATGCTGGAGGAGGCGAAGGGTGTTTCGTGGTTGTACTCGACTGAGCTGTGACGGCACGACTGCTGGATGGTCGCGACCCAGCTATCCTTTCTGGCGACGGGCTGAGAGGCTTGCGATGGAAAGATCCGTCCCTAGAATATCCACCTCTTCGAAACTCTACATTCCGGTTCATGTCCGCCATATCTGGAGTGCCAGCAGGAAGGCCTTCTGGTAGCGACTCGTCTTGCAGTCTGGCAAAAGATGAGTCCTCGCGGCTATAACCCAGTGCGCTTTCTTCTTGCTCGGACTGAAAATGGTCTGGGGGCGGCGATCCGATCTGGCGTAACCGGTTGGCAAGTTCGGATCCTCTGAAGTTGGGGGCAGGGTTGGCAGCCTGGCTAGTCTTCATGTTCCCGGTCATGGTAAGATAGACAGGGCTGAAGTTTTCGTTCTCGTACTCTATCTGGCCGCTCACAGTCCGTACCGGGTCGCTTGGCGGCGGCATAAGATTTTGAGAGCATTCCGATGGCTCTTCTTCGTGTGTTGTTTCATTGTGGGAGGGCTCCTCTAGTTCTGTTTGTTGTTGTTGCTCATCTAGTGTGGCATCGTGGTCTTGTTCCTTTTGTTGCGCGTTCCGTCGCGTGGCTGGCCATGGTGGTGGACTCGAAGGTAACGGAACGGCAGAAAGACCCTTCAGCAGCCCAAGTCTGCGCTTTGGTTGCGCAGAGTCGTCTGATGCACCTCCGGCCGGTGGTTGGAAGATGTTCTCAAGACCTGTGGGGCCAAACAAGTCGGTCTGGCCGCCGTAGCCTACTTCGCCATTGACGAGCCTGCGCCTCCACTCGGGCGTGTCATGGGATCCTGGCTCTTTTGTGGGTGATCTCGCGACCGTGTTGTGTGCGACTGTTCCATAGTGAATGCCGGAGCCTTGCGAGATGGAAAAAGACGAGTACGAGGCGCGACGTGGGGGCTCAATGTGTGACGCGTTGGGCGATGACGGGGCGGGCGGGGCGTTGATGTCGCTGTAGCTGCGCTCGAGGAGGGCGCTCCTCTGCTTTGGCGGCCGAAGCTCTTTGCCGATGCTGCGCACTTGGATCTCGGAGAAGGAGCCTGAGGACTGTCGCATGCGGGGAAGACGACTGCGGGCCTTTGCCGCGCTCTGGGGAGTCACGGCCGGGCTTTGGACATTGCGTGCGATTGTGGCTGGTGATTCCTGGGGCCATTCTTCGGAGAGCCCTTCAAAGTAGCTGGGCTGTGGTGGGTTTTTGGCCATGGTGGTGGTTGTGGTGGTTGTCTCGGCCGGTGCCGCGTTGGCCGTGTTGATGTCTCAAGTTTGGGCGCTGGAAAATGAAGCGGTGAGGAGGAAACTTGCTGGCTGGCGCCGACGCGTCAAAATAATGCTGCTATCTTAGCGCAAACGGCATATTGCTTCTGCGGCTTTCTCAATGGCGGGCGCAACGTCCAAGAACGCGTCGACGAGTCGTGCTGACTTGTTATCGGGTGTATATCGATATACTAGCGAGCATCTATGACATCTGATGCCGGATGCACGGCCTATCCCCGCGTGCGCTAAGGAGTCGTTCCCACAGCAACCACATACGATCTCCCGCAAAACGCAAGACGACAATGCGCCGACGATGACTATCCCGTCAATCAAGAGAACTAGACCGTCCCGAGAAAACGGCTATTCCATCTCTGAGACGGTAGCAGATCTTGTCTTGGCGGATTCATTCGCTTGTCTCCCGAGCTTGTTTGTTGAGCTTGGTCCTCCCTTCACGCCGCCGTGGCAGCTACGACACAGACGCCGAACGACGATGCGACTCGACCCGACCCCACCTTATTTTTACATCATCACTGCTGCTACCCATAGAACATTGTCACATGCTGGACTCTAGTTAGAGCTGCATTGTGTCGAGGACAAGCTTCTCGTCACGATTGCCCATAAACATGCCGCTCTATTTACACCCTCACCTGAAGCGGGGACTGGACTTTGATGGTTTCCATGTCGACCCAGAAGACCTCCTCGAAGAACCACTCGCAGAATACGAGGACGCTGAGCACCGGGCAGCGAAGCGACGAAGAATCGAAGCGATTGCATCCCGATATCTGCGTGGCCGAGCACCCGTCATTGTCACAGCAGGGCTAAGAGGACCCTTCAACAATGACTGGAAGAACCCATGGGCAAAACCCATAGTAGAAAAAAAGAAGAAGAAGATATCACACAAGAGCAACAAGGCCGCTGTTGGTCGAAGAGACGCAATTGGGCATAGGAGCAGCGCAAGGGTGAGGAGGAGCACTGAAAGCGTTGTCGTCGAAGAATCCGCGCCGCCCCAGACAGAGTCGCCAGAAACATCCAGGGCTGCCAAGGACGACCTCGACCGCCGCGAACACGACGATAGCCTCGACGAAATCGAAGTCCCGCCCGCGACAGCGCCCTTACCCGACGACGACGACGAAGAAGATGTACCCGAAACGATAGAATCCGTGAGCATATCCACGGCTAGATGCATACAAAGTCGCTCTCCCATGACAAACCCATTCTGGTTGCGTCGCCCTGACTCCGCCAGAGTCGACATGCGCAAAGCCACAAACCGGAACACGGACACGTCTCCAACACGATCACGATCGCGAAATAGCGCCTCACAAACACAAACGTTATCAGAATTGCGGCTCAGTCTCCCAAAAGCACCTATTCAGGCTCAGACATCGGCACTTGGAGCATTGGAGCAAGAGGAATGGGCATCAAGCGCGTCGGCTTCCATGATGATATCCTCACCTACCAGGGGTGCCGATACGGAAGTTCAGGCACAAGTCCTAACCGCTGCAGACTCAGTAACCGAGGCAGGTGATACTCCGGCTCTGACCATAGCAACACCTCACAGCAGTCAGTCGGGACAACGGTCACAGCGGACAGTACCGATCATTACTTCTTCGATAGGAAGTCAAGGAAGACGTACAAGAGATGATGTACAGCAGTCTGCGGGCCGATCTATCAACTCAACATCAGCCTCGAACCCAAGAGAACCGCCACGACGCTCCAGTCACCAAGATACACATAATGCGTCCACGCCCAGGCCAGTTTCTAGAAAATCGAAACTGAGGCCGAGAGCAGTCAACTTCGACTCATCGCCAGAGAAAGCTCCCTCAGTCAGAGAACCAGTTGCTGACAAGACTGCTACCCAGGATGAAGCCAAGAATGAGCTGCAGGAGGTCTGTACAGAGGAAGTTACCGTCGAAGTGCAAGCATCTCCGCAGGTGGAAGGACATGTTACTGTGGTCCAGGATGAGAATTCGGATTTCCGCACAAGTCGAGGCAGTCATAATTCTGACTGGTCTACACAAGCCGCATTGCTGCGAGCTCAGCTTGAGTTCCAGCAAAGCACTTTCCCCATAGTATCGCCTGAGGTCCTTCGATTGGATTCACAACCCTCACTTCGAGATACACCCCGTCCGTATTTGGCCGCTCCCATCGCAGCAACTACACCCCATTCTGGCTTCACGGTCCAGCGAGACGAACCGCTGGCACCCGAGACTGTACTGCAGGCTCCACCCATCAGTACGCAGGACCTCTTTGGCGCAGCGTCACCATTCGCGTTCAGCACAGTGAAGAAGAAGCCTGAAGAATCACAACGAAGCAATCTGCGGTTCGCTCTCAGTCCTAGTGATGGGGTACTGAAAGCTGACGCAATCGCTAAGAGCCCCACTCCTGGTACCGACCGAATTCCATTGAAGGATAAGAACAACATCACATCGATCTGGAGCTTCACTACAGACAAAGCTTCACAAGGATCTCAGGGGCTTTTAGGTGACATGTCCAAGGGGGCGTTGAAGGACATTAGATTCCCAGCACTGGACATCGACACGTCACTAGGTGACTTCGGCCCTACTGGTGATCTGGATTTTACAGATCGATTCCTTCGTAATATAGACGACACTTGAATGCTATGACAAAGAGGAAATATGATTTCGTCTCTAGGCAATGCTGTGCGGGTCAGAGCAACACGGAAGCAGCGGCATGTTCACGTCCCACCAGTGGCCTTGGTCGTCGTGGCACTCTGGTCCTGCCAGATGGAAGCATTCCTGTACCGGTATCACAGCGACGTGCAGCGATAGTCACGTAAGGATGCAGCAGGCGGTGAGAGGCCACGTTCTCGAGTGATTGGTCGTCGACGTCTGGAGCCCATGCATAGTCAATGCAAGCAAAAGACCTTGGGCAGAGCACGGATTGATATCGGCGAAAGGGGTGAGGCAATCGTGATGGGATGGTATAGCCGGTACCGCATAGTTTGGATACGGGCCTTTGTAGGGGCACGGGGAGGACGGCGCGGAGGCGAAAAGACGTCTAGCTTGTGTCACAGATGTCAAGAATTGTGCTTTTCCAATTTCCAACGAAGCTGCAAAGTGAAGCTGCAGCGCGTGACTGCAGCCTATGGTGATGGCATGTGTCGTGGGTTGAACCTTGGAAGCGTTCAACGTCGACTAGCTCAGTCCGTGAACCGTGCCGACATCGTTCATGTGGCTCCTTGTGCACGGACGCTCCTGCCTCGTCTTCACATGGACAGGCAACCACGACGTCGCAGCAATTGCCCGCGCAATTGCCGCCAAGCCCAATTGTCTTTGTCGCCAGAGGCCAAACTGCCCTCTCCACGTCCGTCTTCTGCATTGTGTAAACAAACATCGCACGGTACCGTCGCGAAACCACCAACCACTCGGGCCATCTGCACTGACGCGCTTTGTTACGCGGTGGCAGTCAGGCAGACGTCATTGGGCCGCTCGCTTGGGATAATCTTTGCGCCACTTTGGCCTTGACGCCAAACCACACAGAATTAGAACGTGGACCTTTCGCATCTCTCACTGGTGTCTCGCTCGCTAGCACCCTGGAACCACATCTGCAGCCCTCCCATCCGCCAGCGCCGCTGCTCTGCACGCTAATCTGGAAGATCCGCCCCTGCTGGCCCTCCGCTGTGTCTCCGCCGCGCCCAAACGACCGCATCCTGGCAAACGACCTGAGCGCCCACCCGGCAATATCTGCCACCCATCCTGCCACGAGGTGCCTTCCCAACGGTCGAATCAATGTCGAGCCCATGTCACCCCAGCCGGACGCCCAAGGAAATACCTCACCCCCCGCATCGGTGAGGTCGAACGCCAGCCATGGAGTTCGCACGCCGGACCCCGAGCACGACCAAGTGACGCCCAAGACCCTCTCCCAGACGGGCCGTTCACGCACGGCTCCCATTGTCCACGATAACAACAACCTTTGGAAGTCGTCAATTGACCGCCCCCAGCTGGACGAGCGCGACAGCATATTCGCGACTACCTATCTCCACACCGACAGCCCCATCTCCTCTCCGCGGGCCAGCGCACGCAATGTAGACCCCGCCAACGATGCTCCCGAACACAGTCTGTCAGAGATGGCAGCACCAGCACCTCCCCAGAGGCGATTGATGGATCCGCCCATCATTCGCAGGAAACATTCCACCCTGCCGCCATCCACTTCTTCTATCGACCACCAAGCCGTCTTGACTACCCCCTTCAACCCCCGCGCAGCCATTGCAGCTGGTGTGGGTTTCGACGCCATCCATCACAGTCCTCCGCCCTTTATGAGTCCCGTCGATTCGCCCGTACAGCACCCCAGCACCCCACCGCGTCCCGAACTCCAATACGAGGCTCTTCTCGAGAGCGAGGAGAGACGTAGGAATAGAGAATGGCGTGAGGGAAAGCCTGTTCCGTTCAAGGGCAACATGATCTCCGACCAGCCTGTCATGGACGTTGAGATGGAAAAGAAGATTGAAGCAACACTTGCCAAGACTGAGCAACCTACGTCTGCCCGCAGTCGGAAAGCAAGCCACTATCTACGCGTATTCAAGGATGGCGACCCTACCGAAGAACCGAGGAAGAAGGACAACAAGGCGAGAGAGCGTCCGTCCGTTGAGAGAACCCTGTCCACGCTTTCAGAGGAAGCCACAAACGAGACTGTTGCTCTGATCGATCAGCTCCGTCGCGCGTCAATGGCGTCCTCCGTCGTACAGTCACCTCTGGGCGGTCCAATTGAGTCATACTTTGAAGCGAAAGCCGCACCTCGCACGGAACCAGGCGCTGTCGCCACTCCCTCTGACGGAAGCACGCGACCGGATGTGAGCACTCCAGACAAGAAGCAATTCCCGCGGCGTCTTCTCGAGGACATTCGCGGCTTCGGAAACTTGACCCCTGGCGCGGACCCAAGATCATTGCTCTCACGCAGTCTTCCTACCTCGGCGGTGGAGAAGGTTCACGCACACGCACCAACGAACGGATCAGCACACTATCACGAGCCGTCCGATTACTTCCAAGTCAAAGATGGAGGCAACAGAGAACGTACACCGGGCTCGGAGGAAGACGACGAATCGGAGAAAGAGCAAATATCTTCAGCTCTATACTTCCCCCATAGGCGTCTCAAGACAAGTGAGCAACTGCCTGCAGAAACACAGAACCAAGATAGAGAGGTGAATGCTGTCGAGAAGAGGGCTTCAACTCACGAAGTTGCGGGGCCAAAGGGCTGGGCCACAGAGAAGGATGTGCAAACCCCACAAGAAGTAGAAATTTCTCTACAGTCCCAAGATACCAATCAATGCCTTCATGGTGATATCTCCACGGCGACTTCCGTAAAGAAAGACAAAGAACAACCGCTGACGTCCGCTGGCGATGCGCTTTCAGCTGAATCTGAATCTGAGTCGATTGCCGAATCTACTCAGTCACATCTTGGTTATGAATCCAGTGCGACTGATGACCTAGGAACGACGCCCACTGCGACTACGCACAAACAGGAAGTTAAAGCCGCTGCGCCACAGGTAGCTCAGCCACCCGCCCCACTGGGAGCTGTGGAGCTGAAGCCGTACGATCACCAAGTGGGCGGCCATTCCACCGTCTACCGTTTTTCAAGACGAGCAGTTTGCAAACAACTGAACAATCGTGAGAATGAGTTCTACGAAACAGTGGAGCGGCAGCACCCAGAGCTATTGGAATTCTTGCCAAGGTACGACAACTTCCCTCTGCTATCGATCAAAGCTGAGACTTCAGCAAGATATTTGCGTTCGTCCCATGTTTCAGTTAAGTCATTTGCTAACATTGCTATCTTATAGGTACATTGGTGTCTTGAACGTGACTTATCGAAAAGCACCCAAAAAGAAAAAGGGCGCCAAGGACAAAGCGAAATCTGATGCCGCGCCAACTACTTCTGCAACACAGTCAGAAAATGCTTCAAGACAGGCTTCCAAAGCTCCTGGAGATCGGGGCAAAGATGAACAACCCCGAGTAGTCAGCCACTCGCAACAAGTTGGTATGACCATTCCTCAGGTAATATTCGAGAACAATCGGCATATCATCCCAGACAACCTATTTCGTGTGCCACCACGTTCCACCACTCCAGATCCATGGATGAGGAATTCCTCGATCTTACAGCAGCAACATCGGCGAAACCAGAGTGATTACGGACATGTCTCTCAAAGTCCAACACGGCCTCCGTTGCAGCATACCAGCAGTTGGGGTGTCACGACAATCAACAGAAAATTACAAGAAGAAGTGCTTCGTCAAGTTTTCGCACCGCCACCCATCCATCATCGGTCGCGTCACCACCACCATGGGATCTCTACCCGCAAGGCTGGAAGAGATACACCACAGACTGTGGCTGGTTCTGCGCCTACCATAAGGAGAAATAGCACAGATGTATCTGGTTTGCATCCACCACTGACAGAAGAGTGCACACGAAAACAAGTTCTGAAAGCTGAAGCACACCGACATGCTTCCGACAAGAACCCCGATTCTGCCCTTTCTAGCTCGGCTGGACGACCAGAAATGAATGGCGATACTCTGAAGCCATCGCAAAACACTATTCCCCGCCGTCGTCATTCTGGAAGTGGACTTACTAGGAGACCTTTGGGAATAGATACTATCCAGAGACACAACTTGGAATACTATGAAGAGGACGGCTATGGTGGTGATGCCGAGGAGGAGGTATTTGCCATGGACGAGGATCGCAACGCCCTGACCGACGCAAAGGAACAGAACAGGGGTCGGTCTGTGCAAGTCTCCGGCACACTCAATGGCTCCGATGCTCAGAGGCCAACGGAGGGTACCATGCTGCCAGCTCCAGCTGTTCCTAATGGCACGGGTGCTCCGCTTAAGGACGAACCTTCCAACCTCGATCAGGCGCAGCACCAGCCTGACGAGCGCGTTCAACACTTCATCCTTCTTGAAGACCTTACTGCTGGCATGACAAGGCCTTGTGTCTTAGACTTGAAGATGGGTACGCGCCAGTATGGTGTGGAAGCCGATGAGAAGAAACAGCGGTCTCAACGGCGCAAGTGTCAGATGACCACCAGTGCTCAACTCGGCGTGCGAGTCTGCGGTATGCAAATTTGGAACGCCAAGACCCAGAGCTACATCTTCGAGGACAAGTACTTCGGTCGAGATCTGAAAGCAGGAAAAGAATTTCAGGACGCGCTTAAGCGCTTTTTTTGGGATGGGACGAGCTACAAAGCAGCAAACAGACACATACCCGTCATATTGGAGAAGATCAGCCAACTGGAACGCATGATACGAAAACTTCCAGGATACAGATTCTACGCGAGTAGTTTGTTGATGCTCTATGATCGTGGGGACGGTGAGTCGAAGGAGAAAGACGCAGCACCCTCTTTACCTAACGGCTTGTCGAACCCGAGCAACGAAGACGTTTCAACAATACCATCTGGACTTACATCACCAGGGCCGACAGTCGCTTCTAAACCGTCACCCAAGAAGCACGGAGAGATCAAGCTGAAAATTGTCGACTTTGCCAACTGCGTGACTGCAGAAGACCCTCTACCAGACGACTTACCTTGTCCACCTGAAAATCCCGACGGCATCGATAGAGGGTACCTCCGTGGCCTCCGATCACTACGCCTCTACTTCCAACGCATTTGGAATGACATCAACGAGGAATGGGTCGAACGAGGCGAGGGCGAGGGCATGGCGCGAAATCATCACCATGGCCCTGGTTTAGGTGAGGTTGGTGCGGGCTGGATGGATGATGCTGGTGGTGAGGATACAGGCTACGCCAGTTTCTAAAGAAGAGGAGGAACAGCAAAGCTGCCCACGCTCGACAGAAGTCGGACAGTCGATATTGATACGTCCATCCCTTTTCCCTTCCCTTCATTTCCACGTTCAGTCTATTTCACATTGTGTGCATTTTGGGTTGCAAGCATGGTGTTTTGGTGCATAATGGTAAGACAAAGGGTAATGAAATTGGCAACTCTTTTGGCATGCATCGGCGCAGCATTTTATGGGCGGTCAGAACCTCTGCGTTGTGGCTTTTAGTTTTTGAAATTTGCGGAATCTGGGGTGTTCTTGAGGCGGATTCTTTGTATATTATCATAAAGAGTAGGGTAGCGCTAGCTCATTAATACAACACTTTGAATGTCGTCATTTATTGGTCCACGCGTGTATGCGCACATGCAAACCCTTACACCCAACTATCTCAACACCTCTCAGTCAGAAGCTATCTCCCCAAAGATATCCACACCCTTTCTTCCCAACGCTGTTCCCACCCCCACAGCTCCTGACCCAACACTCCGCATCCTCTCAAATCCAGCCTTGTCCTCCACTCCGCCTGTTCCAACAATCGCGATCTCCTTCAAATCCTCGTGTTTGTCCAGCATGTTCCTGATCGTATACACGTTTCCCAGTGCAAGTGGATGCAAGGGCGCGCCTGCTAGACCACCTACACCAGATCCATTTGTTGACTTCAATGTAGGTCTGACGCCCTTATCCACCTCAGTATCTGGTACCATGAGTAGACTCGAACCCAGCGTATTGACCGCCGTTATAAAGTCCACTGGACAGCTCAGGTATACTGGTTTCATGCTCACACTTTCTTTCAATACACCGAGTAGCCCCTCAAATTGCTCCTGATACGTATACGGTGGTATCTTGATGCCCACTGCCACTCGTTCATTTTCATCTATTCCGCCTGCCTTTACTAAGCCGACATCGATCTCGACCTTGAGCGCCTCGAGATACGTCCGCAATGCAGTGAAATCGTACGCTGGCGGCGTTTTTCCGGGAATGTTGGGACAAGAGAGGTTGATTTCCATGGCAAGGCGCATTTTCACGGACTTGCCAAGTTCGTGGATCAAGTGGTAACATTTGGTTACTTCTTCTGCAGAACCCGTTATGGAGATGACGATGGGCTTGAACGTTTTTCTCCCACTGGGTGGCTCATCACCTAGACCATCGCTGATGGCTTTCACAAAACCCAGGTATTCGGAGAGTGGGATGGGTGAGTATCCTAGCGTGTTTAAACTCCCTGTCGTGCTTGCGTCGCCGCCAAGGTCCTTGTTGGGAGTGCTGGATGCGTGGGTCGAGGGATTAAAGAACGCGAATTGATGATGTCCAGAGTCGTGAGGGAAACCTCCGATCAGCGAGGTGCGAGTGGTGATAGCGCCTGTGTGAGGACAGTTGTAGAGCTCTTGAAGCTGATCGAGAGTTGTACACCAGGGGTTTGCGGAATTGAGAAGGGGCGGATCAATGGTTAGAGGGGCCATCTTAGAGTTTGTGTCGGATTATCGCTGTTGAGCTTGATTGTCGTGTCATGAAGTACCTAGGTAATGTATCACGGGACTGGGCGGTCGCGGCCCGGCCCAGTTGTGGAAGTGGGGTGGGCCGATAAGCTTTGCATTGTCGGCTTCATATCTTCAGATAGCACCACATACAAGAGAAAACGTAAACAGGTATAGAAATAACAAGCTCTACCTTGCGTCTTACAGTAACTCCTTAAAAGAAAGCTCATAAAGAATAATAGTAATGTAGGCTTCTAGGTTTTCTATCTCTATGTACATAGCTTTTAATACGCTTTATTATAGTATGAAGAAGAATTTCCGTTCACTCTCGTAGCAAGTTATTCTAGTGATAGAACTACTGTTCGCAATGCGACTCGGATGATTATCCCACAGCGCGAGAGTATCCGTGCACACCATGTCACAAAGCTACCTAGGTAACCTTGGTTTTGTAACCGCCTCGTCATAACAGGCACACCAACGCTCAACAGTCTCCATGAATTCACGGGCATCATGGCGTTCCTTCAGAGTGCAATGCGTGAAGAAGCTAGTTGGCCGGAGAGTCTTGGTTTTGATCTCCAGGACTTCCCCTCCTCTGAGGAATCTGAAGAACCTGAACAAAGCCCCTTAGACTATGTTCTCGATCAAGCCGACCCATGGAAGTATTCAGACGACGACCCGAAAGCTTCCCTGACGTTCTGCGAGGAGGCTCTCGACAAGTGGGTCTTTAAAGACGATAACCTTTAACTGGCTGATTGGGGTAAGCGTATGGTCAGGGTCTTCAAGCGTATCATGATCCGTAGGAGCTTTGCATCCACTATTGACAGCAAGCGCATCAGTGACTCGTTGCCCGAGGTACAACATCTCACAATCGAGTGCGACTACACCCCGTTGGAGTGACAATACTATGAGACCTTCTACATGGATATCTCGAGTAGTCTGGTGCGCAGAGTCCCGGGGAAAGCTGCAGTTGCATGGAACACGACATCTTACCGAAAGATGTGCCTGATCTCGTCATGGCTTGGCTTTATGTACCTCTTGGACTACAAAGTTCCGTATCTCAAAAAGTTCCGAAAGAACAACGGTGATGCGGTGACTATCTTGGGAGAGCTTCACAAGGCGCCACTTGCGCATGAAAGTTACGGAAGCCAAGCGCATCAAGATCTCCAGCAACAACGAAGTTCGGGAATGAAGATCAAATACTCAACAATCCCCTGCATTTCTCCAGAAATCCCCGTACGCAGTCTGAGAACCTTTGTAACTCCTCCCAGGGTGTACCTAGGATGATGGCTACGCTTCCTCGTTGAGTAATCCAGAATCCTGCTTCCATCATCTCGAGCCAGAATAGCATGCTCAGGTCAAGGTCCTCATGCCGATCTCGGAAGCTTCTTAGTTCCTTCTTGCCATCATGCAAGAAATGTATACCCATGATCGTTCCCAAACCCGTAACGGTCATTTTGGTTCCATGCGAAAGCTCTTGAAGACGGAGGCGAAGTTTGTCACCCATCGCATTGAAGTTGCGACAGACTTCGGGTGTGTACACATTCGCAAGGCCAGTGTATCCTGCTGTCATTCCAAGCGTATTGTTGTTGAAAGTGCCGGAATGTCCTAAAGATCCCTTCTCCCGTGGGTCATATACGCGCATAATGTCTGCTCGCCCACCGAATGCGCCAAATGTAATTCCTCCACCGAGGAACTTGCCCAAAGTCGTAATGTCTGGCTCCAACCCCTCGACTTCTTGTAGCCCACCCGGCGCCAAACGGCTTGTTTGTACTTCGTCTAGAATGAAGATTGCGTCGGCTTTCTTTGCTGATTCCTGAACTTGATGCAGGAAGTCATGAGTACCCACGAGACACGGGCCTCTACCCTGCATGCCTTCGATGAGCACTGCAGCTACGTCTCCAGACTCCTCGATCTTCCTCTTCGTGTCTTCAACATCGTTGAACTCTGCAATAATCCATTCCTCTTGGTCTACACAGTTCTCGGCAGGGTGATCTTCCGGAAACGTGTAACAACCGCCATGGTAGCCCCCTGTGAAAACTACAACCTTCCTCTTGCCGGTGAACTTCCTCGCTCCTTGGATGGCATGAAGATTTGCCTCTGTGCCTGAGTTTGTGAATCGAATGAGATCAAGCTTGTATCGCGAACATATCAGTGCGGCGTGCCTCATCTCCAGGGTAGTCGTTCCACCCAAGTTGAGACCAACGTTGTTGATAGTATCGACCAGCGCTGATTGTATGAGGGGTTGCGAGTGGCCATATAAAGCGGCAGTAAATTCGCCAACAAGATCTGTATAGGTTTGCCCATCCTCGGACGTAACTTGATACCCTTTGCCGCTCTTCAGGAATACCGGAAAAGGCGCAGTGTGAAGTACACTTCTCGTATTACCGCCTGGCAGGGCTTTGTTCGATTCCTCGTGTAGATGCGAGCTTTTAGCGTTCCGCTCTGCGAATCGTTGCTTGGCTGCTTGGAGTGCTTCACTGGTAGTAGCATATACGCTCTTCGCGTGGTCGGCCGACGCCATTGAGCTCATTCTGGGACAAGAGAGTAAGAACAAAGAACGAATAATGCTTTCGAGAGGTGATGCCTAATATACTTGCAAGTCTGGCAATCCGATAGGGCCGGTATAGGCCCGTCAATCTTTCGGTTCGGGATGGAAAGTCGGAGCTTTGCCGTAGGAGAATTTGCCGTACGATAGCCATACACTTGTCGTGACTCGCGCCCTGGATGTCGATTCGCCCATTGGTTTCACTGAATACGTTTGCAGACTGCGAGACCCTTCGATCATAGGCTTAACAATCCTAGAATGATGCGAGTGCAACAAGCTCACCTGAGCCTATGAATACTGCGGAGGATGTTCAGAACGAACCTCGACGCAGGTGACTTAGAGCGCTCAGTCATCGTAGCAATAGAAGCCAATAGATCTGGGTCCCTTATCAAGAGCCAATGACAACCCTATCGTGCTGCACTATGGTGATAAACGTCATGGTAGGCTGCGGAGACCCCGCGCTTGTGATAGTTAGGTATTCCGACCAGTTCCGAGCGATGCATTCCGAAATGCCGTCAAACTCTTGAAAAGCGCTCTTCCACGATCATCACCCGTCGTAGGCAATACGACCTCGGTAGGCTTAACCTTTTCTAAATGCTTCTTTACTTTCTACTAGAAGTTGATCAGTCGTAGATGGCGGTGTTTCTTGATAGATTTCGTGATCGCTTTTCTCGGTATTGTCGGAGCCTACCTACGTAGATACCTGGGGCGCTGTCGGAAAGATGCGTGCTCGATGGAAGTACCGTGCAGATGTCATGAGGATGTTTGAATCGCCGTCTCATCAAGGACAGGGTTGTTGACTTCGTGCACGACACGTCGGGGATGATGGCGTAATGGCATACGCGACACGCGCCGAGTCGACCGTTCGAAGAGGACTAGCTGTCATCTTACCCAGCCACCGAATTATCAGCTCGCGCGACAGCACGATCAGCAGCGTACTGTGCGATCGCGGAGCATATGACACAAAGAGACACTTGCTCCATTCGAGATACGCATGTTGTTTCAAATGGGAAACTATCCCAGTACGGTTCCATGCGGCGTACATGCTACAATTGCGACATTACTAAGTATTATAGCAGTAACTACTCGCAGCAGCAGACGTATTAAGAGCGCATACTTGGCACATGATGTCAACATGTGCATAGCTAAAAGGGCGCTGTTTGGCTTTTGGCTCAACTGAGGGGTCGCATCACACAAAGAGCGCACAACTACAAGGTTGACACCTCCAACATTCACAACGTCACTCACGATGGCTTCGCAACCTGAGCCTTACACGATCTCGATTGCAGACACCGCAATCGAGAAGCTGAAAAGAAAGTTGTCAGACGCGGACTTCCCTGATGAACTGGATACACCTGACCAGTGGCCATATGGTTCACCACTATCGGACGTCAAGCGTCTAGCGAAACATTGGGAAACCGGTTTCGATTGGCGAAAAGTTGAATCTAAGATCAACGAATTGCCAAACTTTCGAAAGAAAGTACAGGTTGATGGCTTTGGACAAATCGACATACACTTCGTACACAAGAGAAGCTCTAACCCAAATGCAGTGCCACTGTTATTCAGTCACGGGTGGCCAGGCTCATTTCTCGAGGTCACAAAGTTGCTTCCACTCCTGGAAGATGGTGAGAAAGAAGGCAAGCCCGCATTTCACATCGTGGCACCATCCCTGCCGAATTTCGGGTTCAGTCAGAAGATCCTCAAGCCTGGTTTTGCACTGTCGCAGTACGCTGAGACTTGCCACCGGTTAATGCAGGACCTCGGATACGAGAAGTATGTCACTCAAGGCGGCGACTGGGGCTTCTACATAACCAGGTCGATGGGCATTCTCTATCCGGATAATGTTCTCGCCAGTCACATCAATATGGTGCGCGCGCACGCGCCGACATTTACATCACAGCCTGTACTTGCTCTCCAGCACGCGATGACTCCCTACACAGATGCTGAATCCAAAGGCATGAAGCGCTCTGAGTGGTTTCTTACCGACGGTCAAGCGTATCGCCAGTTACAAGCTACCAAGCCGCAGACACTCTCATATGCCTTCGCAGACAGCCCTGTTGCTCTACTGGCATGGATCTACGAGAAGCTGGTTGACTGGACTGATAGCTATCAGTGGACCGACGATGAGGTTTTAACATGGGTTAGTGTCTACTGGTTCAGTACTGCAGGCCCCAATGCGCATATTAGGATCTACTATGAAGCTCAACATAACCCCACGGATCTGATCCCCAATCGAGAGCGCACGAGTCAGTGGGTTGATCGTGTGAAGCTTGGTGTCGCGCACTTTCCTAATGAGATCACTGTTGTCCCAAGATTGTGGGCGAAAACCTTAGGTATGACTCTCATGATAATGCGCATGGAACTTATACTCACATGCGAACAGGCCCTCTTGTCCATGAAAGTATCAACGACAAAGGTGGCCATTTCGCTGCGCACGAGAGGCCGGATGTGATCGTTGCGGATCTGCAGAAGATGTTTGGGAAGGGCGGACCATGCTACGAGATAGTCCCTGGAAAGACTGGTTATTGATATAGATTTGTTCTCCACTGTTCGTTGCACTAATCCGCTGTCGCAGTTATTTGATTGTCAGTGAATTGTCCTTTGAGAGGATAAAAATGAGAGGCCACCAATGTACCTCTGCTGCAGAGTTGTTTGTTATTGATATTTGCTATTCTACACAACTTCTACGGGAAGGTATGGGCAATCAGAGAGTTCGCCGCACCCAACCTTTCATTCCTGGCAACAGCCCAGCAATCTTGCTCACTGAAGCGCTCATGCTTGGCCACTGTGCATATACATCCACCTCCTCCAGTGGACCTTGCTAGTTTCGAAACTGCTTTTGGAATGAGCACTGACCCTTTGAGTTTGCGTAGGCGATGATTGACAATATTAAAATGGCGAACCAAGCTGCATGCTCACTCTTGCATCGATCAGCGCTAGTAGCTGGTCCTTCGACCTTGCAGCTACCTTCCCAGGCTTAGATTCGATTCAATTGTGCGCCTGTTCAACTGATCACAGACATAAGCGAACAGTCCGCTTGTGTCCGTGATGAGACATGATATGCTCCGTATGATACCAGTATCATACTCAGGGCGCTCGTATCCGGTCTTGTTTAGGATGACATAGCCGAAGAGCTGATTTCCGTCCGGGAAACGATTTGGGGTAGCATAAATGTTTCTTTTGGTGTGAACGTAGACTAAAACTACGCCTACATCAAGGTTGATCTTTTGCTGGTTGCTTAGAGAGATAAAAACCACAACAATGTCTAATTTTCTCACTTCACAGCCGCGGGCCGTATCAGATCAGTTGTTGAATCTCGAGGGCTCTCGCACCGGAAGTCTATAGCATCGAGTTGTAAATCATTGGACTTCTCGGTCGTTTCTTGCTTGACGGATTTGGCTTCGCCATCAAGACTCAATCGAGAACGGCATCTAGGTGGTATCTGGTCATGCGATGACTCCTCACTGGAAACCACCGTCGATCGCGACAAGTCCTTTTCGGCGGCCGAGCCAGACGCACTGAAGGTCAGCCAATGGATTACCAGCGCATCCCAACATACTGCAGAATGTTAGTTTCGATGTAACAGACGTGCGGGAAAGAAAGCCTACCATCGACTAGGCAGATTGTAAGACAGATCATACCCAGTTCCTCGCCATCTGTCAAGACGAACTGGATCATGTTCGCCGCCATTGGAATCTCGATCAACAGTGAGCCAATGATGCTCTTCCATAACAGCGTCCTAATGTTCTTTCGAGCTGGGGTATCATTTCCACTATCGACTGTATTTCCTTCTTTGTTCGGTTTTATCTTGAAGAATTTGGAGAGAACAGATACACCGGGTATCTGTACGATAGGACAAAGCAGGTAAAAGAAGACGGCTGTCAAAACCGCATCTGTGAAGAAGTTTACGACCGTGAACGGTATTGATACGGCACCGCGAATGCCAAAGTGGCACCGACCGTCTGACGCACGTAACTCAACGACGTGGTTGCAGTATGCATTGATGGCGACTGAGCTGTACGTAATGATTATCATGGCCATGCAACCAAGGTACAGCTTGTCTTTTCGCCTGTTGAAGAAGGGTGCGCGGACGACGTGGATGCGTTCGACCAGAAAGACATAGCTACCATCGTTAGCAGTGATCTGTATCATCGACAGTACTTACTCACATGATAGCTTTGATGAACGTATAGAAGATCAGACAAACCCATGTGCCTGCAAGACACATCCCATACGTGTACAGTCCTTGCCCTGCTACGAGAACGGCTGAACAGGTGATGAACATCAACACCAGAACGTATAACATAAGAACGAGCGTTGACATGAGGCTGCGCTTAACCACGATGCTCCGTCTGAGTTTTGCCCATCGCAGCCCTGTGATATGTGTTAAAACATGATTGCAAGCTTGGTGTGAATTCCTTGATGTGGAGCACATGCAAAAGGTATGTCGTCTGATTCTGATGTTGATACAGTATGGGAGGTGCACTTACCTAGTAACAACGACAACACCATCATGCATACCAACGAAATAATCGTGAAGATGGACCTATCCCGCGGAAGCTCGCCATTGTTGATGAACAGGTTCGAATTCCGAAGGTCCTCTCCCCGCATATGCAAAGGGAAGCCTTGAGCAGTAAGAGACTGCATCAAGAGGAGACCAACGAACCACATCCCAGTAAAAACCTGGGGCTGTAGCAAAAACGAATCACGCACGTACGTAAAAAGAGAGATGAGATGAATACATCATACGATTGGGGACCCTTGGGTCCTTAACTGGACCCTTTCCCCCCACATGACATCCATTGCGGTCCAGCAACAGGATTTTTTCCTTGCGTAAACTCCGGAAAGTATGTTACCAAGCCTCGATCGACCGGGAGTCGCTAGGTATTGTGGCGTGGAGGCGATCGTTTTGTGAGGCTGTTTGGGTTCGCGCTAGTCACCGCGGAGATGAAGCCGGCTGGCTGGCAGTGTTGCGAACGCGAGATTCCTAGTAGCAGATCCACGTGCGCTCCGTTGCTCCCGTCTCCTGCAGGTGTTGAGCGCGTTTTACTCCAATATCTCCGTCAGGGACAGGCACGGCATTGGAGACCGATTCGGTTTTTGTTTTTTGTTCGCGACGAGATTCATGGCTCGCTGGCACTCCCAACGTGATGCGACATTTAACCGCTTAAACTTCACGCTCCCATGCTGAAAATCCTGCTGGCCATCTATGATGATGAGCATCGAAATCTAGAATGTCTAACTTGATCCCGTTGTCTCGGAGCCAAGCTCGCCCGTAAGGAGACTACGACAGTCCGCCAAACGCCACCACACACTTCCCTTGGCTTCTGAAGTACACCCGATTCTAGAAGCTTTGCCGATGTCGGGATTGCCTCTTCTATTTTCTTCTCTGTCATCACGCTCCATACTGAAGATTAGCAACTCCAACCTACGGCAGAACATCTGTCTCTCAAGGAATATGAAGAGACGATCGGCAAGATCTTCCAGGCTCTTGCTTTGCGATGCAAGAGAGAGTTGGCGAAGATAGATAGTGCGAAGATTTAGCGGAAACAATCCAATCTGACCATTGCAATATAGTCATCCCTACTGTTTTCACCAAGTAAACCAAGACATTCGGTTTCGGAAATTTATAAATAGCTCTGAAGGGCTCTCGAACGCAATATTTGTATCCACTTCTATTCACACACTTGTATTCCAAGTTGTTTTAGTGAGGGATACATCGCGAGCCGCGACTGTGGCGATTGTAGTGACGTGTGGTTGATCCGGACTGACTTACTAAATCGTCTCTGAGATAGCCGTGCAGCGATAATATCCTTGGGCTTTTACTAATGCTCAAGAGGAAATTTTCGCCGCGGATGCCTATCCCATTCCAGCAGCCTATAGGCAAGCTGAGAAGCTCCGCACACCTGCCCAGCGTCTTACTTCATAGCTCAGACACCCCATCTGCACCAAACAACTGAACGGAACCTGGAGAATTTGCAGCGACACGTTCCAGACATGAATACCTACCTCTCAAATTTTCCTCGAGTGTGACTAGGAAGTCGAACGGACCAATTTCAGTCCAAAACTTTCCCAAAGAACAAGCAGACACAGAGTCAAGAAGTCAACACTTTTCCAAACAGTTGATCCTGTTGTCAAGTTCAGGTTCGTAACAATTCTCAAGTGCACCGAGCCAGTCGTCTTTGTGACCCTGCAGCAGCAGAAGGTTCGTGCTAAGCTCTATGCTAAGTAACTAGCCTTTTGAGTCTTCAAATGCAGAGTGGTCATCCAGAGGTATACGGACAGACCGCCGATGCAGGATGATGTCGACGTCGGCCTCAGTGAGCGTGACAATATCTTCAAGCTTGCGTTGCCGAACGGTAGGTTGTTTCAAAGCTCGTAGTCTCAGGTGTCTCTATGTATGACTTACTAATCTACATTCGGTCAGGCTCTCGCTTATCATCGGGTATCGTATCCAGGACATGGGAGATGTCTTCCTCTCTCCATTCTTCAGGCCGGTGGTGTTGATGGGGAACGCCGATGATGCGTCTCAAGTTTGTTGCATGATGGAATATCAGTGAAACCGAAATGATTGACGCGTCGTAGAATTGATGTCGTGGCATGGTTCTTGATGTAGGCATCGACGCGTCTCCGACCATGGACATTCATTCTGACATCCGCATATAGCCGCTCGGTTGCTGGATGGTACCAAGATCTTAGAGAGAAGTGAAGTCTCCCCTAATATTCGTGAAGAGGGAGCTACAGTACGTCGATAACTCCTTGGTGTCTATCAGGAAGGTGTGTGGTGACTAACACATCCGACTGCTAAGGCCTTCAGCTCACTCCGAAGCTTGTTGAACGCCTTGAGCGAGCCCTGTCCTCATCCAGATTACAGCAGTCTTCGGCTCCTCTCTCGTCAAGCTTGTGCGCATTTACGCGGCTGCGCTGTAGGGGAGAGTTGTCAGATGTCATGGGTAAGCACCGTGGCTATACGCCCCAGACAGGAGGTCACGGATCCTACCTAGGTACCTATTGTTGCGGCGCTGCACTAGAACAGATGCGGACGCGACAGCAACAATGATTTATGACTTGGGTGTCAGCTCCTGACTACGAGTTGTCGCCGCACTTAAACATCAGATAGTTGAGCGCACAGCGTCGAAAGACTGGAGCAATGTTCTTGAGCAATAGGATAAGCCTAAAAGCTTGCGAGAAGCCTTTCCATTGCACCCAGGACCAGCCCATCGACTAGCATCGCACGCCTCTCGCACGTAAAGCTGCACGAAACCCATGAACTCTGTGTTACACAGTGAGCTTGAGGAAATGCAATTGCTATGCAAGGTGCGCATATACAGGTATACGGAATACGATTAGCGGCACGCGATGTACGATGGAAGGGTCTTTTGGTCGACAGTGCTTAAGGCCGCCAGGTATTTTGACTCGGCCGAACCCTTTTGCGGAGAAGATGCGATAAATCAATAGAGTGCTAGATGGTCAAACGGCCCAGGGCTCAGGTGAGCCACCTCTTGTCTACGATAGCTAGCACAAAAGTACGAGAGAGGGGTAGATAAGCTTTCCAGTAGTGCCGAGTGTGCCGGTCTTGGCACGGGCTGCTATTTTCAGCTCAACTGACACCTGGGCACCACCTGGGCACTACCTGGGCAGCGCGCTTCCAACAGCCTCATATATAGGCGCCAACGTCGCTCGCCGACGGTCCTGAAAAACCAATTGACCCTCCAAGATGTGGGTATCGGAACAAAGAAATGGGCATGTCCCCTGGCAACAACCAGGTACGTGGAGATTCTAGATGGTTAGTCTGCACCGGCCACACGCCAGGCTAGCTTATATGAGCCTAGTGCTTGCGGTACAGTGGGCGGATCCACATGTCCCTTGCCAGAACCTCGGATCCTCCAAGCCCTGACGGTACGATCGGATGCTTTGCGACGACTCCTATAAGGTGTCAGGCGTCGCCCCGCTGATGGATGGAGGGGACGACGAGCGTACTGCCGTTGCCGTTGCTGCTTCTTCACCTACCACACCTTACTCACCACCGTCGCTCTTTCATGCTTTGTTCACGTATTTTTGTGTCTGTACCAACGACCACTTGTCTCTCTTTGCATTGTTTCTTGAAGCGGTTTTCTCGTCATACACTCTTCTTTTTGTAATAATCAGTTCACGACTCCAAAATGAAACTTTCCCATCTTCTTTATTTCCTTGTGCCTTTGGCTAGTGCACGAGCTATACCATACCACCGTCAGATACCCATCACCGAAGAAAGCGCCACCGAGGACCTCACAAGCGCGAAAAAGATTGATCTAGATGCCACTCCTAGCATCGGCGTCCACTTCACAACAACACAGGCAGTAGTGGCTGCGCGATATCCGAATGGAACAACAATCGACGTGGTACAAATTCCTGGAGACGCTGGATACACAGACCTAATGTCGCGGTGGATGTTCCGATATTCAGATTACGAAATTCTAAGGAACCGGAACGACAGCGTTGTACTAGCTGCATTTATCTCGAGAGTTCACACGACCATCGAAGCTCAGCTTAAAATTCCTGTCAAACAGATCACGCCAGCTGTCGTCTTCCCACTTGGCAGGGCCCAGCAAACGCTATTCCAAAGCGCTTTATTACTTACGGGCTTCACATCGTCCAAATCCTCCAAGGAAGGCTCCGTCATATACCCGGAATCATACGCTACTCACGCAGCTCTGGTACACGCCTCGTGTACTCATCAAACGCTGCAAGAACAACACCAAAACGTTCTCGTCATCGCTTTCGACGACAGCTCTTTCAGCGCGAGCATGCATCAAACGTCTTGCGATAGAAAATCTTCACAGCCACAACCACGTATGATCGGCTACGTCGCCCGCTCAGATCTTGGTTGGTGGAATCTTCCTGTCTACGAAGCGCCGCGAGCCAAGTTCTGGTCGAAGCTACAGGAAGCTGTCATTGATGCTATCAGTGGGCTGGGGAAGCCACCAGGCAGGATAGTGCTATCGGGTAGCCATGGCAGGGACAAAGAGTTCAAAGGCAAGATTGAGGAGGCCCTTTGGGCGGAGTTGGAGGTGGATGTTAGGACGCTGCTTGGAAGCTCTCAAGAGGCGGACAACGAATGGCTGGCAGCAAGGGGTGCGGCAGAGCTAGGGACGGCCACATACACGCGGTAGTTGTCTTGAGGTCAAGACTGCAGAGAAGTGCCACAGGGGCGGTGACTCACTGAGCTCGGGCAAAAGTACTTGTTGCGCAAAAAGATACCCAAAATATTCATTACTACAAACAAATGTCAAATCACTATATCCAACTAGAAAGTGCGTATCGCAGTCCATGTGTCATGTCAGTTCTAACGTGTATAATCTGTTTTGCGATTTTCGCGACATACACCACCATATAGACGCCATGTATTCCATGGCTACACATTTTCTTTTCTTTATGCACAAACAACAATCTATCTGTAGCTATGTATTCTCTGATATACAATCAATCTAGCGGCTACGTTTGTACTATTAAGCGTACCTAACGCACCCTGTTGTTTCTCGCAATCTCTATTGTAGACTCTTTTAATTCCGCTTCTCTTACTTGACGTATGTCTAGTCATCTAAGAAGTGAGTATAGGCGTGCGCGAGCGTTTGTTTGCTTTAGCACAGACCGTCATCTTTGCCCACTCACTCTTACGCGTGCGTTGACAAAAACCTCTGCCAGATCCCTACTTTTACACTCACTCCTCATATCGATTCGTGACTTGCCAGCTCCGAGGATACACTTTTATGGCGGGCAAGGGCAAGCAACCGGCGAAGAAGCGCAAGGGGCGTACAGAGCGCAGATATAAGAACAAGGGATATGAGAACAAGAAAAAGGTGCGAGAAGGACTAGGACTGCCGGCCCAGTCCGCGTATGATCAATGGAGACAGAATGAGGCCATGGCAAAACGATGGTGGGACACGTTCGAACGAGACTTCCTGCAGACAGACCTTTTTGAAGCCGGCTCCAAGGGCGCCGAGTTCGCACACGTTTACAAGCAGATCACAGTGGGTGAGCGTCTCGGTGCGGGCATGTTCTCCCAGCTAGACGCGGGAAAAAAGTTCACCACCTCGCTCCAATGGCACGCATGGTTGTTGTATAACCTGGCGCATCAGAACATTACTTATCGAGACGGTTGCTTCTATCAGAACGGCTCTAGCAAAATCGCGAACTACAGAGCAATGTGGGATCAGATTAAGGGAGAGTTAAGGGACAGAGGCCGGACAGCAAGGTCGAACACGCAACACAAGTCACCCAATGCCAAGAGTGATGTAGCCATCCAAGAGCACGTCGATACGAGCTCGAGCTCGGACGAAGAGGAAGAGCTGGACCCGAACACTGGTGAAGTTGTGGTACTATGGCTCAACCAGCCAGAAGAATCTGAGACAGCAGGCATTACTGATAGGATTCGCGTCCATGGATTCTGTGGCTACAGTTTGATGTCTTTCAGATCTGAAGTTATCCAACGATTCAACTTGCTAGCACTGGGACACACGATTACGTCGTTCTTCACGCGCGAGAATGAAACCTTCATCGACATGAAACGAAAGGCCTCTCGGCAACCAAACGAAAGACTCTTGTACTTGATGGAGACAGCCAAATTGACGAGGCTGTACAGCTGCAGCCATCATGACAGCGCCTGATGGTGCTGACGATGAAGGCGACAGCGAGCAATAAAGCGATAGAAATAGATGTCAAACCAATATCTAACTACAACATGCGTATCGCAGTCTATGTGTGATGTTAGTGCTGGAGTGTATATTTTGTTTTGTGTATAGACGGTGACGCGGGTGACGGAGTGCTGTTCACATGCTCAGGCACGCGTCGTGTTAGCGCGGCGGTTGCGTCAGTGCTCTGGACGATGATGGGAAATATACCGCCCTAGAACAACAAGGAAGCATCCTCAGGCTACCACCTTGTCCAAGCCAGCTGTCGTCTTCACAGATACACGTGAGGAGGCAGGAGATACGCTAGCATCATGATATGATGTGATTCTTCCACGACTGCTTCTCTCCAAAGTTGCAGCACGCCAGCCAGCCAGCCAGCCAGCCAGCCAGCACCAAACCACGCCAACCGTCATGGCAGGCAACGAGCCCACGCTCTCGTCTCGCGCGAACCAGTATATCCGCGAGGTCCTGCACAACACCGAGGCCCCGCCTGCGATACCCGTCCGCTACTTCTACACATCGCCGCTCGCTATAGACGACCCGCTGTCTCCGCTCCCGCCGCCGCCAACGGGCACCTCGACGGCCAAGAGAGTGCCGCCGCGGCCCTTCTCGCAGTACGACAACGACGCCATCCAGGAGTCGTGGCTGGACCTGCGCAAGAAGATTCTGAAGCACAATGAGGAGTTTGGCGAGAAAGACGCGACGGGCCGTGGCACGCCCACCAACCCGGCCGTCGAGAGACTGAAGAGGAAGAGAGGCGCTAGCGCTTCCAGCGAGGAAGGCTCGATCCAGGGAAGGGACATACCTTCTGGCCGCTCATCAAGCCGAGGGCAGTACTCGAGGTCTGCCGAGCTGGTCGACAGGAAGACACCCGGCTCTGGCTCTGGCTCTGGCTCTGGTTCTGGCAGTTACGGCCAGTCCATGTCTGGCTCACTCAAGGCATACGACCCTGGCCCAATATCTCCCCTCGAGCCTGCGACTACCGGCACGCCTTTCATCCGAGCCCCGTCCAGAGGCAATCTGGCCAAGTCATGGAAGCCGGCGCCCATGGAAGGAGGCCATCGCCCGACTATCCACGAAGTCGACAGCTACAAGTGGGATGACGACATGGAGCCTGCTCTGTCCACTGCCAAAGACAAGGCGCCTGCCGGAAGATCCTCCAAGCCGAAACCAGGGCCTTCCGCAAAGGTGCCTGTGGGTGTCTCGAGACTACACCATGTCGTCATGGACACTGACGCAATACGCATGGAGCCTATATACTGGTCACCGCTCAGCGATGTCGCTCAGATTGTTAGAGGGACCTGGTTCTACAAGGACAGCATGATGCCCGTCGAGGTTGAGGTCGCCAACATGCTCGAAGCCGGATACATCGAGCTGAAGCCCTGGACCCAGACGTGGACGGACGAGTTGAATAGTGCCGTCGAGGTTGGTGCACTTGGAGAGATGAAGATACTACACCACCTATGGCCCGAGAGACCTAGGAGGTCCGAGAGTAGACCTTCAACCTCGCAAGGCATAATGCAATCAGCCGGTCTTGTTCAGAACACCCTTCCAGACGACGACGACGACCCGGAGAAGGAGCGACGTGAGACGGTGGAAAACGCGTGCGACCTCATCGACATCTCCACAGGTCCAGGGGGACCAGACCACAAGGCAGCTGGAGACCTGGAGTACGGTGCCGACGGAAGGAAGCGCCTATATTTGAAAGCGGGCGTCATATACTCCAACGACAAAGAGGCTTTCATCCTCAAGCCAGCTCTTCAACCGTCAGACTACTACGGGCGACGACCAGTAGCAAACTATATTCGCAAGGGCAGAGCCATTGGTGTACACGTCGTACGTGGCTTTGATCAGGCCATCTGGGATAAGCTGCATCCTAGCAAGAACACGCCAAAGGCACAAGCAGCGCGCGAAGGTGTCTCATCTTCACAAGGCGGCGCGCCGCAATATCGGAGGCAGAAGTCGGACCCCGAACTCGCGCAGTCAGAGAGACCGAAAGTGTCAGATCTAGTGTTGGTGATACACGGAATTGGGCAGAAGTTGTCGGAGAGAATGGAGACATTTCACTTCACGCATGCGATGAACGCCTTTCGACGAGAGATGAACGTCGAGCTTGGAACCCCGGATGTGAAGCGACACTTGAGGAAGGACATGGGAGGCGTCATGTGTTTGCCAGTAAGCCATCATGACAACGATTCTCAGTCCAGGATACTAACACAGAACAGGTCAACTGGCGGCATCGCGTGTCCCTCGATGTCGACAACACTGAAAACCCCGAGCTCGAAGATCCCTCCGCGAACAAATACACGCTCAAGGACATCACCCCAGATACGCTACCCTCGGTCCGTGGCATAGTCAGCGACGTCATGCTCGATATTCCATACTACCTGTCGCCCATGCACAACCCCAAGATGATATCAGCTTGTATACAAGAGGCGAATCGCATCTATCGCCTGTGGTGCCATAACAACCCAGGATTCGCAGAGTATGGGCGAGTGCACTTGATCGCTCATTCGCTCGGTTCGGTAATGGCCATCGATATCCTGAGCCAACAGCCAACCTATGTTGATCCTCAATTTACTGACCCTTCGTTCCCTGAAGCCGACCTACCACAAGATCAGTTCATCTTCAATACTACCGACCTCTTTGTCTGTGGTAGCCCTGTTGGCCTCTTCCTCCTCATGAAGAACGCCAACCTGCTTCCGCGTCGCGACAAAGAGAAGCCAGGTGCAGATTCGTATGCTGCTCCCGGTGTGGCCGGCGAGCAAGGCACCTATGGATGTCTCGCTGTCGACAACATCTACAACATCATCAACCCCTACGATCCTGTCGCCTGTCGCATAAATCCAACCGTCGATGTCGTATACGCCTCTATGCTGAAACAAACAACCATCCCGTCAGCATCGACATCCTACTTCGCCTCTCTCAACCCTTTCCGCTCTTCCACTTCCAACTACAACAACTCTTCAAACAACAAGCCAACGCCCATTCGTCTGCCCAGCAATGTCGAGCTCGAGACCCATAACTTCACACGCGAGGAAATTGCCGAGAAGAGAGCCTATCTGCTCAATGATAACGGCCAGATTGACTTTTACATGAAGTATGGTGGTGGACCATTGGAGATTCAGTACTTGACCATGCTAGGTGCACATAGTAGTTATTGGATCAACAAAGATTTCGTTCGGATGATAGTTGTTGAGGTGGGGAGGGGCTTAGGAAAGGACGGCACGATTAGGGAGATGAGAGTACAGAAGAAGAAGTTGGCTGTTGGTGGAGCAGCATAGTATGGTATGCACGGGAAATGGTAGCTACGGAACCAGAGAGAGAGAGAGAGGATGCGGATTGACGGCTAGTTCGAGGGCATTTTGGTACGGAGTTTATGTTTTGTTTGCCTCTAGAAGTTATACCCCGTTTCGTACGCAATTTGATAGGAGTTTGCATTTGCATTAACATTAGCATTAGCGTAAGACTAATAGATCTATCTCCACTTCTCTTTCCGGACGTCTGCTTACTTTGTTCGAGGTCTCAAAGTTCCCACCGTCTTTCATTCGCTTCGTCTTACCTGACACTATCGTCACCCAACACTAGGCCACATCTCGTATGATACTGACGTCCTCTAGGCCTGGAGAGCCCGTTCTAGTAGCTCATGATGGCACTTGCCACTCTTACATGCAATGCGAGAAGGATGAACTTCACCCCGACTTCTCCTTCATAACTCCGGCTCTGGTCCGAATCATACGTCGAACAGGCGCAGTCCCATGAACAATGCAAGGTCTACTACTCAGGCGTCCAGCAAGATTCGCCCTTGAAAGCACGGCCTCTACGGTTACAGTGAACGACCACCAACTCACTTTTCGTCCGATCCATATCGAGCATACAAACACTTTCGCCCTACAAGGCGGTATCCTACAGTATAACCCATTACCAAGCAGTGTATCGTCTCCCATTATAGCCCGTTTCGAAACGAATCGCCTCCCACGCGCTACTCAGGGCGTAAATGGCGTAATTAGCTCATCACAGCTGCATAAACGCTGGGGCGTAGCCAGCCCACGGGGCGTCGCTTTATTTGCCTGATTTGACACGGTGGTTCGCTACGTTTCGCGTTCTAGAGTGAAACAGTGGAAATAGGTATTGTTGGTTAATGGGCGTGGTTTAGGGAGCTAATTAGCGGACATGCAATTGCCTCGATGCCCATGTGCAGACTCAACACTGCATGCTCCGTGGAGGCGCAAGCACTCGTAAGGCGGTAGCAGGCAGGCAGGTCTTTGCGGGTAGTTTATTTTTCTATTTGGAATGTAATGTGTCGTGAGAGGGAGATCTGGGTCCATGCGATACTTGAAAGAGGGGTTGTTGTGTTGCGCTATGGCTAAGACAAAGAGAGTGAGCAGGCTTGTGTCGTGATAGGTAGATGGCTTTGGTACTCATTGCGCACTAATATCTAGATACGTGTCTTTGAGACCTACATATGCCACCCTTCTTAGGGCCCTTAAGAGGCGCTGATATACAGCAGTGTCTCCAAGTAGCGTACCGCTGTTGAACATGATAGCCGAGTAGATGGTTGGTCTACGCGAGGAATTCTAGAGCTTAGACTAGATAGGAACTAATTACAGGTACACTCACAGCAGCGCGAGTCTAGCTTACAAGCCATAGCACTTGAGTAGTCTGTTGCCTTGCCGTGTGTGCGAGAGAGTGTGTGTGGGTTCGTGCGTTGGTAATGCTTTCGCCTCGCATCATGCGAGCTGCGCTTCATACCTATCGCAAATACCGTTCGGCTTATCATGAACAGCCCAGAACGTGTACATGATGCGATGCAACAGCGGACATTGGTAAGGACATCGAGAGATAATCAGCGACATGTCCGAATAGTCCGTGACAGCAGGAGAACCCAGGGTAAGCGAAAGGGATGACCAAAGGCGGGCCGACAAGCGAGAACGTTGTTGACCCAAGCTCGCTCAAGCTGCCAGCTCGATTGGAAACACGATGCGGTGCGATTTGCAACTTACTCCAAATCACCTCCAACAAAACCTTAATAGCATGCCAATAGTTAATCCGACAATCAGATGTCCGCTCTACAAAGTAGCGCGACACTTAGTCATGTCTTCCAACCGCCACATGCTCCTCAATTTACCATGAGAAAGTCTCCGGATCCAGCCAAAATCATCACAAATCTCCCCAGAATCTCTCCAGTTGGTCGGTTCCCTGTCTCCTTTTCCACCAGCCCCCACATCAAGGGCAATGTCAAGCGGCCCATGCAAATGTTGATCTCTTCAGCCCTACTTACTGCCCGCTGTCATTTCAGAGCCCATGAATCATAATTCAGCCCAACAATCTATTTCCCCTCTTAGATAAGCAAGACAGCACGAGCGGTATTTTATCTATCTAGCCGCCCATGAAGCTTGGTATTAGATACGTTACGCGGCCGGTGGAGGAAAAAGGAAAGGGACCAACTACCAAGGTTTTGGTCCTGCGGTCTAAACGGTGTGCGCAGGACGTTTGCTGGTGATTTAATCGGTGCGAGAAGCATTCGGGGCGAATTTGGGAGCATGGGGTTCCTATTGCTGATCGGGTCTAGGCTGCTTATGGCCTGGTGTTGATCACGTTCTGGCTCTCAGGTCCTGACTAAACCTACTGAACGTGACTGCCGACTGATGATGAACAAGTATTTATCTGGATGGGACATGCCGGTAGCAGGGCGGCAGATGGGCTCAATGAGCGGATCGTTGCGGATTCACTATAGCTTAATTTACTCGGGCATACCGGGAACCGTGGTTGTTCGCAATACTGTACCATTTTGTACAAAGTCGGGTTTCGGACCCTTGGATTTGGCCGATGAGAAATACAGCTTCATCACAGGTTTCTTGCGGTATAGGGGTTTCACGAGAACTGGGGGCAAGGGGAGTCTTTCGGCGTGCGCGTGTTTTCCATCTGAGGGTCTCGACAAGGATACTGTGATGGACGCGACGCGCGGGCGTCCGAAGCTTCCGCTGCCGGGAGTGTGTGGAAAGTGAGTCACAATTGCGATTTCCACGTCGTGTTGCTTCAAGATGTCTGTTGCAGTATTGCGAGACCGAATACGCCACAGTGAGGAATACATGTCAGACACGACTTCTTACACCCCCCGCGTGGGAGGTAAATTCTCCTTCAGCCCTACAACACACGCGAACGGTTGTCAGATCAGTAAGCCCTTGCGCGAGCAACCGCCGGTGGAGTTACCCCCTAGGAGGTTTGAGTGCTGACCTTAAGAACGTGGGAAATCCGGGGTACGAAACGGCTGCCATGCACAAGATGGTTATGTGAGCAGCATGACGTGATGGCACTGATTGGAAATCCTCTTCACACATGACGTCTCTTGGAGAATGACCAACTTTGTGGTCTTTCGCACGTCTTTGTTGCGAATGGCACGTGTTGGAGGACCACTTCGCCCTCGGGTTCCAAGGAACCGTCACCAGCCGGACACGAGTCTGCGAGAGTGCGAGAGATTGTGCACAAATCGCCGAATACCTGTGCTTCGGGCTCGCACGGGAATCCTGAAACCTTGCCGCTTTAGGAAAGCGTTGCGGCAGTTCCTTCTTCTCTGCATTGTCCTGAAAGCGTTTAGACGGTTTCGTAGCTCGCCTGTCTACCGCTAGACGAACACTATTCGTTGGATCGTTTACATGTGAAATCCTATTGTACGACTAGCGTGTGAACGCAAGGCTGAATCGAAATGAGTCGACAGATGCGATGTGGGGTCACCTTGGAAGGGTCCGTAGCTGTCAACGATACCGTGGCATGTCTTGTGCGCTACGGAGCGTTAACAACGTTTAATTCGAAATACAAACTTAATCGTACAATTCCAAGATCAACCAAGATCACCGGTGGTGGAGCTCAAAGGGCGTTATTACCGACAGAACGACCGTTGGGGACCGCCCAAAAGGATGGACAAAGTGCTTAGCGGCTTGCGATAGTTACCGGCGCTAAGTTATCCTGTCAAAGCTTTAGTGCTAGACAGTTTTTGCGTTTGGTTACATCAAGCGGGCCATGCGCTTTGGCTGACAAAGTCTCAAGGGAGGCATACCTTTCGTAACGACCCTCGTGGGCGGTGCACCAACCCAAGCACGAGGTACGACTCCCTACTGTACGCGACTAAGTGGCGCGGGCGTTTCAACAACCAGGTCCAAGTATGTTTTGCGAACAGAATACGTGTCGTGAACTATCATGGGGCGATCCAATTCTGCGCTCTGTGATTGTCGTACGCAAAAAGCTAAGGCGGAGCTGCTGGTGGCCTTGCTCGATGGCTGCCTGCTGGCGGTATGGGCCCAGAATAGCATCGCGAAATGGGCAAGAGACGAGATACGGTTGGACCCGTGAAGGATGCCTGTGCCACTGTCCGTTTCACACCAGCCTCTCACAATGCTTTCCACCGCGTAGCGTCGGAGCCAACTCCGTGCCGCGACTCCTTCGCACTCTGCACGTGACGAAAAACCGGTCACCGAGTGCCCGCAGTATCGTGAGTGGCTAGATTGCCTCCAGTATGCCGAAGAGCGAATTGCACTCCAGCGTAGCCGTGATGAGGCGTCGTGGCGCGGATTGCGTACCGACTGACCCGCATGCTTCTTGAGCTAGACATGCAGTTGTAGTGCACAATATCAGAGCATGTGTGGATACTTTCCTGTATCATTTCAAATATGAATTAAGCTAGCTGACCGGGATGTTGATCACCCGGGGATGTTGATCACTCACAAATCTCAGCACTCCCACACAAAACACGTGTTTATTTTCTTAACGTAGCTATAATTGCCACTCCGTACACATAGAC